AGCACCAAGGACCCCTGCCTTGGTCTTGGTCTTGTAGGCTAAGTGGGGCTGTGCTTGGACGAACTTGGATGGAAGAAGAGCAGGATGTAACCAAAACAAAAGAAAATCAGCATTCCTGAAAGTAGATGACATTCTTTCATGCTGTTGCCACAAATATCATCAGGATACCCTCAGGAATCATGAGAAATGGTTCATAATGCCAAGGAGAATTTACTTTTTAAGAAAACATTGCCAATCAGCAGATTTGGGATATATCAAGGTTATTACAGCAAGCATCTTGATGTAGGAGATACTGTTATTCACCTTTCCTTTCTCAGGTGAGTTCTCGTCCTTTCTCATGGACTAAAATAGCTGTTTAATTTTTTTTTCTAAAGATAGGGAATTATTATACGGAAAAATAGGAACATTATACATGCTGACTTGAGCTCCTGAATATAGGCAGGGTATAAATCTTTTACTTAATAAAAAAAAATCAAACAATGCATTGAATTGATTAATCAGCTAATTGCTATAACAATGGTAATTCTGACATTAAACGCAGGTGAAATGACAGGATCCTAGTAAGTAGCTTCACTCTGTGTACATATAGGGCAGCTAATTCTCTACTTCTCTCTCGTTCCTGCACCCAGTCAAAATCTGCACCCAGATTTAAGGGCCTTTTCTCTCTGCTCAGCTGAATTGCTCTCCACCCAATCCTAGCCACATAAAATTGATTGTCCCCATTGCCAATCCCTGATTTGCCTTTATTGACTCCATTCTAGTCATTGACATTCTCCAACTTCCCTCCAAGGTCATGGGTAACAAATATTTCAAATGCTTTGAGGCTGCTCCTGGACAAGTTTGGAAGAAGGCAGGAAACGCAACATAAACAGTGATATAGCCTATCTAATCTTGGATGAGAAGCTAAAGGTCTTCAAAGAAAAACAAGAAAGTCCAGTTGCCTCTTGAAAAATCACCTTTGGGACTAGGGGACGCAGATGTTGCCAGGCATACTTAGGTACCAAGTGAAGATTAGCGTGAGCACAAGTAGTCAAAGTCATCAAGCCATTTTTCCCCCCTCCAAGTAGGAATTTTAGGAAATAATATTTTCCCTGAGTTTTTTCTTCCCAAAGAAACCATTTGGAAAGCAGAGCTGAACTTTTCTCAGTTTTTTTTTCTCTTTTCTTCAAGAATAATTCTGAGTTATTCTAAATCAAAGCAGGACCTTTTGTTAATAAAAGCCACAATAGAAAGGGGAAAACGTCTTACCTGCACACACTTCAGAGCTTTAATTCCTGGATTGTTCCAGAGGCTCAAGGTTCATCCCATTGCAAATTCTTTGCTTCTCATCCGGTGATGACTCTCACAAAAATATGTGGCTGTTGCCCAGACTTGCTTAAGCTTTGCAAAGAGAAAAGGCAGAAATTCAATGTTCCTACACTTTTTAAAAAAAAAAGTCAGAAGACTTTTTTCAAGATTTCCAACTGGCACTGTGAATACTGGGGCAATCTTGTTGTACACATTCCCTATCCAGAGTCATATAATTAACTTTAGTGAACTTAACCACTGTGGAAAGACGGGGAGACAAAAGCCCCAGTTGTTTAAATCCTTAGACGATGAGGAAATGCTGAGATTTCAAGCACATCCAAAGTTTGCTATCTATTTCCTTTCCTCTTTTATTACTATGGCTGGGTCATCAATTCTAGGTGCGGCAGACAACAAATTCCTAACCCATTACCTATCTAAGTTCCCATCATCCACTGCAAAGGTGCATTTTCCTAAATGGAACCTTTAATAGGTACTGCAGAACAGGTAGTCCTCGACTTACAACAGTTCATTTAGTGACTGTTTGAAGTTACAAGTTACAACTGAAAAAAGTGACTTGTGATCATTTCCCAACAGTATTAGCATCCCCATGGTCGTGTGATCAAAACTGGCAACTGACTCACATTTATGACGGCTGCAGTGTCCCGGGGTCATGGGATCGCCTTTTGCAACCTTCAGAGGAAGTAAAATCAATGGGGAAGCCAGACTTGCTTAACAAATGTGTTACTAATTTAACAACCGTGGTGAGAAAGGTCTTAAATGGGGCAAACTCACTTAGCGGCTGTCTCGCTTAGCAACAGGAATTTTGGGTTCAATTGTAGTCGTAAGTCGAGGACTACCTGTATGAATTTCACATCCATAGAAAGTATAACGGGGTAAGATGGAAGCTGAGATCCAACTGAGTCTAGGTAAAGGGAAAAAAAATATTTACTTTTGCCAAAGGCAATTAGCTTTAATTAAGGGTCAATTTAGGGAGATTGACTAAACTTCAGATGGAAAAACCAAGGTAATTAACAACAATCACTTGGAAAGCTATCATTAGTAGTTTCTACCTGGCTGGTCACATCATTGTTTTCCCAAATTGCAGGTAGTCCTCATTGAACCACTGCCCTGTTGGGTTATTGTTTGAAGCTACAACAGCATTGAAAAAGTAACTTTACAAATGGTGCTCGCACTTATGACCGTTGCAGTGTCCTGCAATCACTTGATAAACATTTGAGTACTCCACAGCTGTCTTCCAACAAGCAGTCAATTGAGAAGCCAGCAGTAAAATCACAAGTCCTGGCCGTGTGATGCCTCACGTAATGACCACATTGCTTAGCCAGAGTTGTCAGTCCAAATTTTGGTCGTTAAGTGAGGACTACTTGTAGTTATTTCTAATTTGCCATCTAGATCTAGAACATAGCCAGTCTAGGCCATCCTCTTCTTCCTAGTTTTGCAAATCATTTGGGGCTGGCACTGTTTAGCTTATTTCTCATAGACACATGGTCTTGCACTGAATTTCTTAAGATTGAAATTTTAATGCTTTCTAAGAGTCTTTGGACAATTAGACTTTCCTGGTAAATATCTAGGCGCTTGAAAGGAGAGATTGACACATTTTCTATTATTTTAATAACAGCAAGAGAGAAAAAGCCTTTCCAAAGTTCTTTCCATCTCATCTTATGCTAAAGAAAATGAAACCAGGGTTATTTTGAGTTTCTTTCTCACACTTGTATTTCACCACTGTATAATTTATTTTCCAAGTCTCCCTTTAATGGCTCTCTCATACCTTCTCCAAGTGTAAGCTCTAGGTTTTTTTTTTTTTTTTTTTACATTGGCTTGGGCAGAAAGAAGTATTTCAGTTTGATCCCAAAGCCATGAGCCACATAAAATCTTATTTTCTAAGCAGTTGATCAAATCAGTAGCATTCCCTGTGATCTATTCATGGATGGTTTAGATGACCGTCCACTCTTTTGTTAATTTTGACATTCGATCACAGCATGGTGGAGAATCGTTATGGCTATAAATAGGTGGAAAACTGAAAGAATATCTACACAGGATAGATCCACCGACACGAACTGACATTGTAAAAAGAATTCATTGATGTTAAACAATGGATAGTGCCTCTCTCGAGATACTGCCCATTCTTTCTCTCCAAAAAAAGCTTGGTTTATAATATTGCTTATTTTTTATTCACATCATACCAAACCAACTATATTATGCTTAGCACGTTGGGTGAACTTTTCTCTTTAAATCCAGTACATAAGAAAGTAAAGATGCTGGATATAAATTGGTCCCACTTCACAGATTTCATCCTTTTATTTCCTTTGGGGTGGGATAATCCTTTTATTAACTTGTTGATCTAATTTACAGAAATTGTTCTAAGGATTACTGAAATATCTCGTTTGGATGTGTGCTAAGAGCTTTGCAATAGTCCGGTAAGAATAAAATCAATATTGCCTGTTTTAGTATGAAATGAAACATAATGAAATTTACAAGAATTTCTCAGTACCTCGGAGAAGCAATGGAAAAAGTAACATGTAATATATATATATATATATATATATATATATATATATATATATATATATATATATATATGACATGCTCAAATGTGTACCAGCAATATTCCATGGAAAGATTGAGGGCAATAGAAGAAGGGGACGACAGAGAATGAGATGGCTGGATGGAGTCACTGAAGCAGTAGGTGTGAACTTAAATGGACTCCAGAAGATGGCAGAGGACAGGAAGACCTGGAGGAACATTGTCCATGGGGTCGCGATGGGTCGGACACGACTTCGCAATTAACAAAAACAACAACAAATATTCCATGGCTGGTACATTACCTAGGGAAAGAAAAACTGTTCTGCTTTTCATTTCCAGATTCTACTTTAAGGTGAGATGTCAAAAAAGAAAATCTATTGAGCCATACATATGCCACATGTTGGGCTCAACCCTTATATTTAGGCTAGCGCCTGTGACTCCCACCTAGCAGAGGGAATCTTTAATTTTGTTTATTTATGTGTTATGCATCATTTATATCAGTCTCCCCCAATCTGGGAAGGGCTAGTTGAGATAATATGCCATTGTTTAATACAGGTAGCCCTTGTCGTACGACCACAATTCAGCTCAACATTTCCATTGTTAAGCACGACAGTTGTTAAGTGAGTTTTGCTCCATCTTACAACCTTTCTTGGCACAGTCGGAAAGCAAATCACTGCAGTTGTTAAATCAGGAAAATGGCTGTTAAGTGAATCTGGTTTCGCCATTGATTTTGCTTGTCAGAAGATTGTCACATCATCCTGGGACACTGGAGCCATCATAAATACAGGCCAGTTGCTGAGCAGACAAATTTTTGATTACATAACTACGGGAATGATGCAACAGTCATAAGTGTGAAAAAAGGCCATAAGTCACTTTTTTCAGCACTTTTGTAATTTCTAACGGTCACTACACAAATGGTTGTAAGTCGAGGACTACCTGTATCTTATAAAATAAAATGTTCTATTATTACACGAAGTTTTTTTAAATGTTAAAGTTACAATTCACATTGTCATAGTTATGTATATTATGTATACCCAAAGCCCAATGCATCTGAAAGGTACCTACCTCAAGAAGACTGTGGGAAATTAAAAAAAAAAAACTTTAACATGAGTAATAAGACACCCAAGCGCCCTTCAGCCAATAAAAATGATCTAAGATTTAAGGCATCCTTTATTACAAACATTTTAGTAACATACATAAGTAAATTACAAAAAAGAGTTTTTCTAAAATATTTTCTTCTAAGACAGTTGCACAGTCTTAAATATTCGGTTACAAGAATAAACAACACCTTGAAATCATGGAGATTTTCACACAAAGAATTGTCATTAAAAACATACAACAAACCAGCATGTTACACCTTCCTCTTCCTGGAACTGAAGCAGCCACAGAAAGTCAAGACAGTGCTTTCCTTTAAAAACCAAAAATCTTTCTCCCAGTCACCCCTTCTGTAGCATCTTCACAAATAGAAAAGCTTGTCTGCAAGTTCCAGGCTTGGCTCCCTATGGATGCTCTGGCTGACCAAAAACGTCAATTTGTTGGCATATTGACAAGGTGCTGGCACTCTGATTAGCCCCTAGGAAGAAAAAAAAAAAAAAAGGAAAATGGGGATGTCACTAGCTTGTACTGCCACCTATGGCCAAAAGGGGAAAGTTGTTTCTGGAATCTTGTTAAAAAAAAAAAAAGAGTCCCTAAAACAGGGTTAGGCAACCTTGGCTCTTTTATGACTCGTGGATTTCCACTCCCAGAATTCCTGAGCCAGCATGGCTCAAATTGGAAAGCTCTCCCTTTCCCCTCAGCATGGCTGGCTCAGGAATTCTGGGAATTGAAGTCCACGAGTCATAAAAGAGCCAAGGTGGTCTACCCCTGCCCTAAAACACCCTCCAGTCAATGATATTCAGCAGTTAGTCCAGTTCCAGATGGAGATTACAAGCAGAAGGTGAGTATTGTCTTGGGCTGGGCACTTACCACTTGAAAACCCAGAGGAAGGCAGGGCTGCATTTTTCAAACTTTAGAATATTTCACATTTTTCTAGCTGAGTGCTCTAGAAAGGGTTATTTCTAGCAACTATTTCAACTGATGGAATAGGATAGGCAGCACATTGGGCTAGCCCAGGGGTAGGCAACCTTGGCTCTTTTATGACTCGTGGACTTCAACTCCCAGAATTCCTGAGCCAGCCATGCTGAGGGGAAAGGGAGATGTTTCCAAGCTGAGACATGCTGACTCAGGAATTCTGGGAGTTGAAGTCCACGAGTCATAAAAGAGCCAAGGTGGCCTACCCTTGGGCTAGACCTCCGCCAGCTGCCCTCCAATCCACTGGTCAGTGGGGGCTTAGAGCACGCAGTTCCGTTAAACAGCCTACTAGCCTGGTTGCTTTCCTGAAGTACCTCATTCTGAGAGGGTCTTCAGAACAGGCAGCTATGTAAGCCAGTGCAAATAGGCAAATCTGAGGACCAAGGACAAAATCCCAGGACCCAGGACCAGAGGCATACCTTGCCTTCAGAAGTTGTGGGTGCCCCATTGCTGGAGGCTTTTAAGAAGAGACTGGACAGCCAAGTGTCTAAAATGGTAGAAGGTCTCTGCTCGAGCAGAGGGTTGAACTAAAAGATCTCCAAAGTCCCTTCCAGCTCTGTTATTCTATTTTCCTCAGAGTGATGTCTTGCATGACCAGCTGCTTAGCTGGCTGAGGAGTGAATGATGGTGCCACCACATATGAATGGATGCTGAGGAAAATGGAGGGATCAGGAGGAACAGAGAGGTTCTCTCTCTCACCCCAGAGATATTGGGCTACAACTTCCAGCATTCTCAGTGAGTAAGCTATGCTGGCTGGGGTGACTGGAAGTTTAAGTCTACCACAACTGGAAAGTGCCATTTAGAAGAGACTACTTCCTTCCTAACTTCATCAGGAGATGGGAAGAACAGTCTCTAGGTCAGTGTTTCTCAACCTTGACAATTTTAAGGCATGTGGACTTCAACTCCCAGAATTCCACAGCCAGCATTGCTGGCTGTGGAATTCTGGGAGTTGAAGTCCACATGCCTTAAAATTGTCAAGGTTTAGAAACACTGCTCTAGGTGGACAGCATCAGGAATGCTACTTACTGGCCAATTATAGTAGAGGTGACACATCTTAAAAGTGAGCCGCTGCATATGGTCCGGCTTTAACTTGTTGTCGTCATAAATCACGTTATAGTACGTGGGATTGACCGTCCCTTGGCGTGCAAGTTGGCTAATCAAGAAAAAGTCGTACCTGTTGGACAAAGGCAGAATCAAGTACTGGGAAAAATGTCATGGAGCACAAGCCGATTAACAGCGACAGTAAAGACAACAATTCATTGAGAGGTGGATTTCTTTCCTGCCTTCCTAATCATTAAATTAATCCTAATGTTCATTGGAGATGAACTGCAACTAAAGTAAAAAGACAAGATTTTTTTTAAAAAAAACTTAAAAATGAATTCGTTAAGTCATTGATATGTATAACTCAGTGTAAAGGAGTTTGGGTTCTATTTATATTATGTATCTATATTAGGATACAAGGTAAAGGAGGTGCTCATCTCCGTTACTTGGCTGAGGAAGTCGGCACTGTCCAAAGACAATTTCTGTGGTCGTGTGGCTAGCACAGCTATACACCAAAAGGTGCACTGAACACTGTTACCTTCCCACCGAAGTGGTACCTATTAATCTACTTGCATTTGCATGCTTTTGAACAGGCGCTCATCACGTTGCAGGACGCTCGGCTCTCAAACTCGAGCTGTCAGCTTTCCAGCGGGCAACTAAATTTCATTTTTGATGTGTGCTGTTGGGCTCACAGTAAAAAAATGACAATAAAGGTTATCTTATCTTTAACAACTGAGCCACTGCATCCCATTATATTAGGATAAGCAAATGTTAAATTTAGGAGGATTGATTGCATGTCCTTGATGTATATAAAGCAACGCTTCACAGACCTATTTTCTTTCTTTAAAACCTTCCAACATCTCAAAATAATCAAAATTTCACTGGCTATAGTGTTATATCGCCAACCACGCTCCTTTGTAAAAAGAAAAGTTTGCCTCCTCCAACTGCAAAAGATTTCTTTATCATTTTGATATATATAAAGATAAAAATGCATATATTGTGACAATATATACTTACCAGTTAGGGTGGGTGGCTTCTGTATCAATAACAGTTCCAACAGGGGGATTCTTCAGGCCTCCGCTAGACTCAACAAAGAAGCGAGAGAGGCATTTCTTCTTCACAATGATCAATGTCATCTTGGGTCTTCCAAATATTAAAAGTAAAAAAGAAAAGAATGAAAAGCAACACATTTCTTGGTTGATCATTGATTATTTCCACTCTGAAATGAAAGATGCTGTAGATATAATCTGGCTCCCAACAATTATTATCCCATAGTATTTTATTCAGAGATGATGGCTAAAATGTTCAGAATAACAGAGTTGGAAGGGACCTTGGAGGTCTTCTAGTCCAACCCTCTGCTCAGACATGAAACCCTATACCATTTCAGACAAATGGTTGCCCAATCTCTTCTTAAAATATTCCAGTATTGGGAGCACCTACAACTTCTGGAGGAAAGTCGTTCCACTGATCAATTGTTCTCACTGTCAGGAAATTTCTTCTTAGTTCTAGGTTGGTTCTCTCCTTGATTAGTTTTCACCCATTACTTCTTGTCCTGCCTTCAGGTGCTTTGGAGAATAGGTTGACCCCCTCTTCTTTATGGCAGCCCCTGAGATATTGGAATACTGCTATCATGTCCCCCCTTGTCCTTCTCTTTGTTAAACTAGACATACCCAATTCTAGCAACCGTTCCTTATATGTTTTAGCCTCCAGTCCCCTAATCATCTTTGTCACTTTTCTCTGTGCTCCTTCTAGAGTCTCAACATCTTTTTGACATCGTGGTGACCAAAACTGAATGCAATATTCCAAGTGTGATCTTATCAAGGCAGTATAGAGTGATATTAATACTTCACGTGATCTTGATTCTATCCCTCTGTTAATGCAGCCTAAGACTACATTTTGGGGGGGCAGCTGCAGCACACTGCTGGCTCATATTTAAATGATTGTCGACTAGGACTCCTAGGTCCCTCTAACAATCCCTTGTATTCCCAGAGAGGAAACTAATGTGAATGTAATGATGCCCAGTCTCCTGTCTATAATTACTGAACAGAAACGCCAGCACCCAAATTTTCTCTGCATGAATCCCTCTATTAGCAAAAAGGAAGAGAGAGAGAGAGAGGGAGGGAGGGAGGGAGGGAGAGAGAGAGAGAGAGAGAGAGAGAGAGAGAGAGAGAGAGAGAGAGAGAAGGGAGAATTCATTCAGAAGAGGGCAGAATTTGCAGATGCTCCTGAATCATGAAGCACCCTGAAAAGTGGGCCATTTGCACAGGGATGGAACAGTATGGAGAAAATTGACTATCTTGACATATTGTATCACCAACCTGGTGCAAGAGAAGGAATATTTACCTGCCCCCCACACTGTATTCATCAAGGACACTTAGTAACTGTGGGACTTCATAATCCATCACCAGTTTCAACTGCCCATCTCCGACACCATCCCTGTATATGATTATGCGTGCAGGTGGATGTCCATTATATTTCTGCCAATTGTTTATAGCACCTGTAGAATTGAAAGGAGGAGAAACAAAAGTAGACTGGATTCGGGTAACTAATGGAGGGAAGGGAGCTAGCCGCATGGTATCCCTTACTATTATAGGTGAGTTAATTTTTAGGAGCAGCTTTTAGATAAATGAACTAGTACAAATGTTTTACACCTGTCCACATTTTTAAAAAAATTGGCACTTGTTTGAAGAAGTTATATTACTATGCTGAATATAGTTCGGGGGAATACTAGATTATTTCTGTTGTATTATCTTTACTGAAAAATGATCCAGTATTGTCCCCAACAAGCAAATTACTCTACAGGTAGTCCTCGGCTTATGGCCACAACTGAGCCCAACATTTCTGTTGCTAAGTGAGACAGGGGTTAAGTGAGTTTTGCTCCATTTTACGACATTTGTTGCCTCAGTTGTTAAATGAATCACTGCAGTTGTTAAGTTAGGAACACGGTTGTTAAAAGAATCTGACTTCCCCATTGACTTTGCTTGTCAGGTGATCACATGACCCCGGGACGCTGCAACTGTCACAAGTATGAATCAGTTGCTGAGCATCTGAATTTTGATCATGTGACCGCGGGGATGCTGCAATCGTAAAAGTGAAAAACAATCATAAGTTACTTTTTTCAGTGCCGTTGTCATTTCGAACAGTCACTAAGTAATCAGTTTTAAGTCGAGGACTACTTGTAATCGTCTTCCCAAAGGGGAAAAGAAAAACTAGCACTATTTTGAAAAAAAACTTACTTTTTTCCAGGCAGGTAAAGTTTTACAGGTAATCCTCGACTTACGACCACAATTGAGATTAGAACTTTGGTTGCTAAGCAAGGCGGTTGTTAAATGAGTTGTGCCCAATTTTACAGCCTTTTTGGCACATTTGCTAAATGACCAGTGTGCAGTTGTTAAGTGAACTTACATATTAAGTGAATCTGGCTCCCTCCCCACTAACTCTGTTTGTTGGAAGCCGGCTGGGAAGGCTGCGAAGCAGCAACTGTCATATATACATGCCAGTTGCCAAGCCCCCAAATTTTGATCATGCGATGTGCTGCAATGGTCCTAAGTTATGTCACTTTTTTTCAGGGTCAAAGTAACTTTGAATAATGACTGAACAAAACGGTTTTAAGCTGAAGGCTAACTCTAATTGCACAGCATACAGATAAGTCCTTGACTTACGACCACAATTGAGATTAGAGTTTCAGTTATTAAGTGAGACATCTGTTAAGTGAATTTTGCCCCATTTTACGTCTTCTCTTGCCCTAGGTCACGGGTTGGCAACCTGTGGCTCCGGAGCCACGTGTGGCTCTTTGGGCCTTCTCCTGCAGCTCCCAGTCCTCCTCCGCCATTTGCAGAGAGAGAGAGAGACAGAGAGAGGCACTTGCGCTTCCCTTTCTCTCACACACCCTCCCCCCATCTCTTTCTCTCTCTCTCTCTCTCTCTCACACACACACACACCACACACACACACACACACACACACAGAGTGGGGGAAGAGGAACTGTCAGACTAAGAGCAGGAGAGAGCCAGCCCAATGAGAATGTGTGTCAGCTTGTCGGAGAACAGCATGAAGCCAGCTTGCCAAGTGAGCAGAAGATTGGAGAGAGGGAGGGGGGAGAGAGAGAGGGAGATAAAGAGAGGGAGAGAGAGAGGGAGAGGGAGGGAAAGGGAGAGGGAGGGGGAGAGAGAGAGAGAGAGAGAACTCATGCACAGCAGCCTCTATTTCTTTTTAATTAAACTCTTCAATCAAGCTCCCCGCCTTGCGCGCGCGCACACACAGGTTTTGTGGCTCCCAGTATTTTCTTTTCTCTGGGAAACGGGTCCAGGTGCCTCTTTGAGTGTTTAAGGTTGCCGACCCCTGCCCTTGGTGTTAAGTGAATCGCTGCAGTTGTTAAGTTAGTGGCACAGTTGTTAAGTGAATCTGGCGAAAGGGGATCACATGGCCCCTTTCATAAATATAAATAATCATAAATAATCATAAACCATCATAAATATAAACCAGTTGCCAAGCGTCTGAATTTTGATCATGGGACCGTGGGCATGCTACAACGGTCCTAAGGGTGAAAAATGGTCCTAAGACACTTTTTTCAATACTGTTGTAACTTTGCACATTAGGCTACTCTTTACCTTCCATGCAGATCCTTAAGCAATCTGCCATACTGGTTCCTGCACACTGCAAAATGCAACGCGAATACCACCTGCATGGAAGAGAATGTCAATCAGTTACAAAGCTCTTGGCATAGTTTAAAGACTAACACAGGTACAGGAATGGAGAACTTCTCTTCCAGATGTTACTGAACTACTGAAGAGTGCAGTGGTCAGGAGGTTACGGCGCAGGGCTGACAACTGGCAGGCTTGTGTTCAAGAGCCGATTACTGCTGCAGAACTGGTTGAGCTCCCATCACATGGTCCGGCTTCTGCTGACCCAGCAGTTCGAAAGTGGGTGAATGCAAGTAGATAGACGGATACCACTTCAGTGGGCAACTTAACAGGGAGCCCTCAAGTGGGTATCCATCGGGCAACAGCGATGTCACTATTCAATCCTTTCAACCCGGAAGCGCTTCAGTGCTCCTGACATCAATGTAGTAGTACAGAACTATGATTTCCTACACCTTCCTTAATGTTATGGGAAAGGGCAAGGGAATGCTGAGAGCTATTTTTCAACAGCATATGTGGGGTTACCTCCTCTTCGTCTACCTTAATTTATTGGATTTTTATCTCACTTTTCTTATTTTGTAAGTAACTCAAGGCGGCAAAGATGCTTTATCCTCCTTCCTCCTATTTTCCCTACAACAGCCCTGTGAGGTGAGTTGGGCTGAGAAAGATTGTCTATCCCAGGGGTAGGCAACCTTGACTGATTTATGATTCGTGGACTTCAACTCCCAGAATTCCTGAGCCAGCCATGCTGAGGGGAAAGGGGGAGGTTTCCAAGCTGAGCCATGTTGGCTCAGGAATTCTGGGAGTTGAAGTCCGCAAGTCGTAAAAGAGCCAAGGTTGCCTACCCCTGGTCTAACCTAAAGATACCCATACCACTGTCCTGGTTTCTAGGCCAGCACCTTAACCACGACAGTTAGTCCTCGATTTACAACCCTTCATTTAGTGACCATTCCAAGCTACAATGGCACTGAAGAAAGTGACTTACGACTGGTTTTCACACTTACGACTATGGCAGCAACCCCATGATTGCATATTCAAAATTCGGGCGCCTGGCAAATGGCATGTATTTATTACAGTTGCACTGGCCAGGGGTCATGTGATCACCACTTGTAACCTTCCCAGTCGGCTTCCAACATGCAAAGTCAATGGCGGAAGCTAGATTTGCTTAACGACTGCACGATTCACTTAACAACTGCAGTGATTCATTGAACAGTTGTGACAGTAAAAGGAGACACAACTCACTTGGCCGCCTTCTTGCTTAGCAACAGAAATGTTGGTTGTAAATTGCGGTTGTAATGTCAAGGACTACCTGTATATCCTACTGTTAAAAACCAGTTAGGAATGGGCAGCGGGGTGTGTGTGTGCAAGTAATGAGACATGGTAAATAAGCAGGAAATTCTCCTTAACAGAGTAATGGACGATAATGTGAAAATGACTCGTTTGCACTACCCTTGGCATGGAGCTGCCATTGCAACATCTGAAACTTGCTGGAAACAAAGAATCTTACTTAGTTATTGAGGCATTCAGGCTGGCCACAAATCCAACAACTGAATTTCCTTTGTTCATGGTGTCTTTGTTGACATCAATGCCGACGACCATGAGAGACTTTAACTGTCAAAGAAATGACAACTGAATTAGAGGATAAAACAAAACCTGAGGTTTCTATGGAGATTTAACACTAATAATAATAATAATAATAAAAAAGTTGGAAGGGACCTTGGAGGTCATATAATAATAACAACAACAACAACAACAACAACTGCCTATCCCAGGTCCTGGGTAAGGACTCGATAGGTAGACAAAATGCCAAATCCAGTCTGAACATCTGGCTGACTGTGCAATGATCAATAATAGTAGTAGTAGTAGTAGTAGTAGTAGTAGTAGTAGTAGTAGTAGTAAAGTTGGAAGGGACCTTGGAGGTCATCTAGTCTAACCCCCTGCTCAGGCAGGAAACCCTGTACCATTTCGGACAAATGGCTGTCCAGTCTCTTCTTAAAAACTTCCAGTGTTGGAGCATTCACAACTTCTGGAGGCAGGTTGTTCCACTGGTTAATTGTTCTAACTGTCAGGAAGTTTCTCCTTAGTTCTAGGTTGCTTCTCTCCTTGCTTAGTTTCCACCCATTGCTTCTTGTCCTGCCTTCAGGTGCTTTGGAAAATAGCTTGACTCCCTCTTCTTTGTGGCAGCCCCTGAGGTATTGGAACACTGCTATCATGTCCTCCCTCGTCCTTCTCTTCATTAAGCTAGACACACCCAATTCCAGCAGCTGTTCCTTATATGTTTTAGCCTCCAGTCCCCTAAGCACTTTTGTTGCTCTTCTCTGTACTCTTTCTAGAGTCCCAACCATATGGCAAGGCCTCTTGGATAACAGGTGGTCTTCAATTTACAATCAGTTATTTAGCGACTGTTCAAAGTTACAACCGATCTGAAAAAGGGGACTTACAACCTGGATCCACAGTTCTGACGGCTGGGCCCCTCCTGGGGTCATATGACTGAACTCAGCAACAAAGCCACATTTACAGTCATTTGCCACGTCCTGTGGTCATGTGGCCGCATTTTATGATGGTTTTACTTCTAATTTTCGGCAGAGCTGTATCCACAGTGAACCATTGGTTCGCTTAATGACTAGAGTGTCCATGGAATGACCATTGCAAAAAGTCTCACAAAATCAGTCACATGGCAGACATGTTTTATATTCATCGTGGCATACAGCCATAATGAGAGGCTCCATTACAGTTGTTATGTCGAGGACTATCTATATACAATTTAGATGGGGAATTCAATGTGAAATCCTTATGTGGCGTGAAAGAACTTGAAGGGAAGCTGCCGGCAACAATGCATCGTGCCTTAATTTTCCTCCTTCAGTGGTCTGACCCGAGATGTAACAAAAATCATCCATAAATTTCTATAGATGAGAATTGACAAAATGAAGTGAGTTATAGGATGGATATAATACTTCATAAAGTATGTTGGACTAATCTTTGGACAAAAGCTTGCAAAAAGGCACATTCAAAGGGTAGATTTCTGAAAATGGCATACCTTTGGGATAGTTTTGCTTTAAAAAGAAAATAATACTTTAAACATCTCACCAAGGACAAAATCACGTTGGAGAAAAGTGCATAAAAAACTAAAGTATACTAAAGCAGGGGTCTGCCACCTTGACAACTTTAAGACTTGTGGACTTCAGCTCCCAGAATTCCTCAGCTAGCATAACTATGCTGGCTGAGGAATTCTGGGAGCTGAAGTCTACAAGTCTTAAAGTTGTCAAGGTGGCAGACCCCTGTACTAAAGTATTAAGTTTTACTAAAAGTATTTGTGTTAGAGACTAAACCACTGGAAAAGCCATCCAGTGTATAAAAATTATAGGTTAGAGTGAAGTCATAAAAATAGAGAGTTTTTAATCGATGCTTTAAAAAAAGCCAGCAACGTCTTTAAAAAAGTAGCATGATAGAAGATTTTCCTAAGAAATTAGATAGTAAAATGAGTGAAATATAGGCTGCATATATTGTCATTCCATTTCTTAGATGTACAACCAACATCACATCTCCACTTGACATTCCCTGCAAGAACCTGCTTGAAAGGAATAGCCAGACATTTTCAAGTGAACAAGTTCATGACACTTTATATAGAATTCTTAGGACAGATTGGAGGATTACAAAACAGTATTACATGCCAATAGATAGCTAGATGGACAGACAGACAAACACACACACTTTGTTACTCTAGCAGGATGGGACAAATTTCAGATTTTTTTTCTTTTCAGTATTACACTGAAATCCGGAGGCTGGTGCAAAGGTGTTTTTAAAGCTTGTTGAATGCCTGAGCTCTATTACATTCTTGTCCCTTTCAACCCATAATATTCATTTCCTTTATTTTCAACAGAACTAAGGAGAAACTTCCTGACAGTTAGAACAATTAACCAGTGGAACAACCTGCCTCCAGAAGCGGTGAACGCTCCAACACTGGAAGTTTTTAAGAAGAGACTGGACAGCCATTAGTCCAAAATGTATAGGGTCTCCTGCCTAGCAGGGGGTTGGACTAGATGACCTCCAAGATCCCTTCCAACTTTATTATTATTATTATTATTAATAATAATGTCTAACAGCATATGTTAGATTTTCAGTCATCCGAGTCATGGTGGTCCCAACGTTGCTTTTTCAAAAGGCAACTGGACTTCATTTTTCCTTGAAGATGTTTCGCTTCTCATCCAAAAAGCTTCTTCAGTTCGGAAGAAGCTGAACTGAAGAAGAACTGAAGAAGCTTCTTGGATGAAAAGTGAAATGTCTTCAAGGAAACACAAAGTCCAGTTGCCCTTTAAAAAAGCACCTTTGGGACAGAGTGGGAGGGATTTAGTTCCTGCTGTTAGATAAGCTGAAATCAGAAATCATTGTGACTGACTGCAAATCATTTCAGGCTTGATCAAAAATCTTAATCTTACTTTTGTCCACGATATGGCCAACATCTAACTTATACAGAAAGAATTACTTACTGGTATCTCAACTGCCCAGAGCTCCCCTCCAAGCTTACAGATGATCTGCATAGCAATTTTTGTAGCCACACTCATCATCATCCCTTGTTTAGACAATGTACGGACAAGCACACACTGGCTAGGGATAGGCTGGTGAAGACTCAGGAACTTCTTCACAGAATCATAACAATCCTTTTTGTTGGAAGACAATAAACATAAAACCTAGAAACAGAAACAAGATAAGCAGAACCGTTCAAGGAGGGAAGACATACCTACCCATTTGTGGAGATAACTGTTCCCTACGATGCTGTCTTTTTGGCTATCGCAGCTGTCATGAGCCATGATTCAGATTCAGAGTCAGATTCTGTTGCCTCAGCTGAGACTGTGGATTGTCAGCCTCAGGAATCTTTCAAGACATGATTCCTCTGAGGAGGCTCATCAACTATAACAGTGCTTCTCAGCCTTGACAATTTTAAGGCATGTGGACTTCAACTCCCAGAATTCCACAGCCAGCATTGCTGGCTGTGGAATTCTGGGAGTTGAAGTCCACATGCCTTAAAATTGTCAAGGTTGAGAAACACTGAACTATAAGCATCTCCAGATCCTGGAGCAGTCAGATGATGAGGCATGATTCCCAAGTCCCAGGTCTCGATATATACAGTGGCAAGCACAGCATCATCATCCAATAAGACTCCTCACTGTGCAAATGGTGAGACCTGATTAATTGCAGCCAGCTGTCTGTGAGACATTTATGTAGCTGCTTTAGGTTTAGCCTTTGTTGGAAACAGCAGCTCAGCATTCCAGCTCCTGGCTATGTTCCTGCTTCCTGTTTGTGATTCTTTGACCTGCTGATTACCTGATTTGGCATTCTGCACTCCTGGAATTTATTTGGATACTCTCTTGCTTCTTGAACTGTAATTAGCACTTTTCAGACAAGCCCTCTCTGTTAGGTATTTGAAATAACAATCCTGTCTGCTGTTGTCTGTTTGAATTGTAATAAATGCTTCAACTCCTTAAATACTGTCTCTGCCTGGGTATAGTTGCAACCTTGAAACAGAACAGTATCTATGCTATCTAGCTTTTTCTTTTTTTTAGTGTGTTGTGTGTAATGTGTTGTGGCCATAAAAATCACTTTCCCAAAAATCTGGATATGTTTCTTTTAACCCTGCAACCCTCAGAACTAGCAAATCACTGAACATTTTTAATCTCCTAATCACAGACTCTGAAGAAAGATGGAGAAACAACACCTAAAGTTACAAACCAAAAAAATCATATACAGTAGCATAGTTTCTGGTGTGTGATATCCAGGAATTCAACTTTCTGTTGATGTCTCCTGGCCTTGTGTATTACAGCCCTCCATTGACAGCCTTTTGTGACCATTCCAAGTTACAAGGGTACTGAAAAAAAGTGACTTATCATTTTTTCACATCCATTGCAGCTGCCTGTGGTCGCCTGATCTAAATTTGGATGCTTGGCAACTGACCTGTATTTATGAGGATTGAAAATATCCCAGGGTCATGCGATCAACTTTTGCAACGTTCTGACAAAGTGAAGTCAAGGGGGAAGCCAGATTCATTTAACACGTTACTAACTTAACAACTGCAGTGATTCACTTAACAACTGTGGCAACAAAGGTTGTAAAATGGGGCAAAACTCACTTAACACCCGCACTGCTTAGCAACAGAAATTTTGGGCTCAATTATGGTCATGAGTTGAGGACGTCCTGTATCTAACTTGAATTTTTTTTATTTTTTTTAACAATCTTTTTTATTATTTTTTTTCATCAACATATGTTAATTTTTCCAATCAACAAGTTGTCTAGAGTGTGCTAAGCTAATACATGTTGAATTTTTTTTAGATTACATCACATTTTAAAAATTGGAAATACGTTGTAAAGGAAAACATTAGCTTCCAACATTATTATTACATGCAGAAACATCTCCAAAGTCTTAGACATCCTTTAAATAATAAAACAATGGACTACCGCAAGTCAGGTTTTAAATGGAAGTGATTCTTACATGCATAGACAAAAATACTGAAATGCAAACCGGGTAGAGGCAGTAGAGAAACATTCAGGCACTGGAAGGTAAATATGGGGGCCAGGAGCAACCACACTAGACTGCCTGCTAATATGCATGTTTTATGGCTGATCACATGTGTCAAGATAGTTTCTAAGAGATCTTGCTTTTAAACGTTTCAAATCATTCTACCATTCCAAATAGAATTGGTTCACTTATAACACTATTTAAACTACTTCTTCCAACTCTGATTCTATTCCTTTGGACTTCAGCGTATTCTGGAAATAAAAGAAGCTTCCATTAACCAGGCTACAGGGACAGCTGTCGACATACAACATTTAATCATTACCATGGAAAAGTTAAGTTACTATTTTGGCCAATTGTATTGTTTCTTCTGGGAAGACCATCCTTCAAGAGTTTCCTTCTAGAGACCTAGATAATCAGAAGTTATCTTTTTCTCCACTGAATACACTTCAAAAGCAATTTTTTTGCAATTCAGTTTGCATACCAGCTGTAGCTCGGGATTCACATGCTGTTGTAGGACTTTCACAAACGACATAGGGCCCTCTTTTATTGGCACCCTGCAGACCAAAATGAGAACATATTAGAAAACATCACCCTTCTGACAACTTATGACAGAATATTTTTCAGTACACTAATTGCTTCTTAAAGATACGATGCCAAATGTAAAGTTCATCACCATCCTATCCATGTAGTCAACATCTTTGCAGGTTATTAGTAACCTATATTTACTTTCTTGGGAGGGAAACATGATCTACAGCAGTGTTCCTCAACGTTGGCAACTCTAAGACATGTGGACTTGAACTCCCAGAATTCCTTAGCCAGCATACCGGTTAGGGAATTCTGGGAGTTGAAGTCCACATGTTAGAGTTGCCAAGGCTGAGAAACACTGGTCTAATAGTGATGTAATTCATAGAAACAGTTAACATGCATGGGACCAGCTAAATCAGTGGTACTCAATCTTTTTAATGCCGCGACCCCCAACCGGTCGTAAGTCGAGGACTACTCAACTGGTGCAGCACTGTTTGCAGAATGGGACTTTTGGCGGGCTCAGCAGGGCAGAGACAGCCTGGACAATTCCTATTGGCTTTTGAAAGCCAATAGAATTAGACTCTATTCAAGAGAGTCTATTCTATTGGCTTTCAAAGCCAATAGAATAAAAGGGAGTAGCACAGCTAAGGAAAAGGGGAAAAAAATGGCGGACTGCGTTGTTTGGCGACCCCCATGAAATGGTCGTTTGACCCCAAATGGGATCCCGACCCACAGATTGAGAACCAACTGAGCTAAATTGTCGTCAATTAGAATACTTTGCTTGTCCAAGCTGAATTAGGATTTTCCATTAAGCCTGGTTTTTAAAGCAATGTGATTTTCAGATAAGGATAATTTACATAAAGGACATTTCATGTCTTCTGAAGACTTTTTTTATTTTCCCTGGCTTTTTCATTGGTTTGTAATTGTATTTGTTTGTAAAAGGCTGCTGTGCTGCTGCCTAGTTTACAGTAGGTCATGTTTTTATTTATTGATCCAATTTATATGGCCACCTAGCTTAACAAATAACTCTGAGCAGCAAACAGATTTAAAATAAAATAAAAACAATTCTAGACGTTATAAAAATTAAAATACACAGTAGCCATGTAATCATTTTGTATTTTACTTGATTTCATCTGTTTTTATTTAGAATGTATTTTGCATATGTTCTATTATGGACCAACCAGAAAGTTTCAGCTATGGGCTGAAAGGGGAGGGGGTTAAAAGGAAAGAGAGAGAGATTACAAGTGAGTAAAATTATTTGCTCATTTCTTTTTAAAATTTAATTTACTCTTTTTTTTCATGTCCAAGTTTTTTATTAATTTTCCAATATTGCATTTACATATTAGAAAAGTAGTGTGGCGGTTGAGCATCGTAATTCCATTACATTTAAATATCATCAGTACAAATCTCAAAGTATTACAACAACAAATTCCCTCTCTTTCCCCCATAAGATCTACTATCATATTCAGATCAATACAGTTCTTATTCTATCAATCAAACAAAAAATACCTTTTTAATATTCATCAATAATCTTCAGTCTATACATATCTTAATTAATTTGACATTCCATCTTTTAGACAATAACCTAATAAGTTTTTCTTAACTTTCATTTTGCATTAATATTTGAATTTAACGTTTAATCTTTATTATTTCCAGATTTTAAATGATCCCAATTTCTCAATCTCCTATCTCATATTTAGGGCTAATAATTTTTCTTTTCTTTTCCTTTTTCTACTTCTTTCCTTTCTTCCTTTCCAGAAAAAGAGAAAAATAAATAAATAAATAAACCATCAGCATTTATACCACAAGCTAATATATGAATTTAATTATTAGTATTTATACTTCTAAGTTTTGTTTAACCTGTGTCTCAACTCATGACAATATCTTAAATTCAAGTCTTAGTTATCTATAAACATTCAAACTTTTAGCAAATCAGTAACCTGGTAATTGATTTTCCCTTAATATTTTAATTTAACATTTAATATTTATCTTTTTTCCAAATTTTAATTAAACACGATTCCTTTATCACAATTCCTCATATGATCTAATATTTAAAATACAGACCTTATATGTAAATTCTATCATATATCTTAACAAACTAATAAGACAATATAATATTCTTATTTCGATATTTATATTTCTAGATTTTATAAAACCAATTTTTTTATCTCAAATCATTACAATATCTTATGTTCAAAATACATATTCTATCCATTTAGATATATTCTATTTTAGATCTCATATATACAGTAGATCAAAACCCCAATCCCTTTCAGTCTAATTCTAGCTTTTTTCCTCTGCCAAATCATCTTTTGTATCTTCGCTTTTAAATCATCAAAAAGATCTCCTTGTATTGTTGTAACTATTGTTTGATATTGATAAAGGCATTCAGTTGCTGTTTTCTTAAGAGGGCTAGCTGGTTTAACAGGTCGTCTCTTTATTTTTCCAGTTCGATGCAGTTGTCCCAAAGTATTTATCTTGTCTTTCATCTGTTTTCTTTTTTGTCTTCAAATTCCTTCTGGTTTATAAGAAAAGTCCTTTCCTTGTTCTCTATTATCAGTTTCCTTTACATGTTTTCCACAGTTTGTATTTGTTGAGTATCTAAGTCTTCTGTCATAATATTTGGTTGTTTCCCCTTCTCTATAGAATTCTGTATAGATGATTCTTTAGCTGAAGTCATAGTTTGAGCTTGCATATGAAGAGTTTGGATAATTGCTTTTAACATATAAAGAATTTGTTCCTGTACTTCCTCTGTGGCAGAAATCCATTCCTGTTCTTCTTCCATTGTTGTGTATCAAACTAAACAAAAAACTTACAATCAGAAAGTCCAAGTAAAAAGCTGAGCTGAGTTTCTTGCAAATGGTGCTTCAAGGATACTTTGTATCTTATCTGTTTTCAAAGCAATCAACAAGTCTCTCTTAAAGAATAGCAGGTTACAGTCTCAAATTTAGCCAGAAAATGTCATCTCAGAGTTAGTTAGATCTTTTCAGTTTTCTTTTCCCCCTCTATTTTAAGGGGGATGAAAAGAACCCAAATCATCAATAATAGTTAGAGTAAAAATCAGAGAAGAAAAAAAAATAGAGAACATAAAGTTACTAGTCTTATAATCCACCAGTTTTAAAAAATAGAATTCCAATTAGGATCCCAGTATTTTTCCCAACGGAGGGCTAAAATCCCCCTTCCCTTACCACAGGGGGAAAAGTACTTTAGCAACTTATGCAGGTAATTAAGTAATTAGAATATAAGAGAGGCAGATCTCATCCAATCCTTTCCATGCTGCTTTGAAGTTACCAGATGTTAATGTGACTTCGGCTGTTAGCAGCCTAGGGATGAGCCATATTTCTATGGCCGGTCCTTTTGTCTGCCGGTTTGGAGGATTTGTTAGGTCTGACAGGAAAGTTGCTGCTCTCCTGCGATCCAGCAAAAGCCCCTCCTTGCTGGTCACCTCTCCGGGACGATTTTCGGCCCTTTTCAGGGCCCCCCAGCAATGCAAAACTGAATGGGGGAGAAAGAGCAGATCTCCCAGCTGTCCATGGCAACTGCATGACGAAACCGGAAGCCAAAATTTAATTTACTCTTGAAATAACATGCTTAAGACCATGTTAAGTATACAAATGTCAGTCTAAAGCAGGGATGTCAAACTGCCGGCCCAGGGGCTGGATGCGTCATGCCAAAACCACGCCCACCCCATTGCTGACAATGGAAAAAAGTCGCAATATGTCGTGACACGTCACGTGATGTTGCGAGTTTGACACCCCTGGTCTAAAGCATCTGCCTTTGGTGACCAGTCATGAATTTCACTGATAGATGCAAATTCCAGCTGGAGCCAGGATAACTGATTTCCATGTTAACTTTCCAGCCCCAACAAAGAGGAAGTCTTCTAAGAATCAGAGGGAACTTAAGCATGACTGGACTTCCTCAATTGGTGAAGCTGCTCCAAGCAATGACAGTTGTGCAAGATGGCAGCTGGGATACACCAAAAGGTTTGGAGTTTTAATAATGTAGCTATGACTGCCATCTTGATTTTTATGAGGGTCCTTCTTTCTGCAGACCCTTCACTCATGTTGTGCCAATGCAGCATGAGGGCTCTTAAGTAATAGATAGATAAGATAGGTAACCTTTATTGTCATTTTTTTACTGTGGGCACAATGCCACACATTAAAAATGAAATTTAGTTGCTTGCTCTCAAAGTATACATATACAGAGCACACATTTAAACATACTATATACAACGTATGTATAGACCTACATCCTTACATCTAAGCAACATATAAATATTAATCACTGTCCATCTTGAATACATAACGGAAGGCGGAAGCTTTAGAGTTCACAAGGTTAATACTGTATGGAACAAAACTGTGACTGAATTGGGATGTTTCGTTTCGGATACCACGAAACCTCCTCCCAGAAGGTAACAAGGAAAACAGGTCGTGAAGAGGATGTGTAGTGTCCCAGACAATCTTGCGGACCCTGCTCAAGCAACGCTTATATGCTATGTCCTGGATGGAAGGGAGGGAACTGCCAATGATCTTTTCAGCCATCCTCACCATTCTCTGCATTGCAGTGATGCTTCTAAACCAGACTGTGATGCTGTATGACAGGAGGCTCTCGATTGTCCCCCTATAGAAAGTGGTCAGGATAGGGGAAGAAAGATGTGCTTTTCTCATGCGACGCAGAAAATGCAGGCACTGCTGTGCCCGCTCCACCAGTGTCTCGCTGTTGAGCGACAAGCCAGCCTACTTGCTAACTGCACACCCAGGAATTTGATGTTGGAAACCATCTCCACAGGTGAATCATTAATGCACAGGGAAGTGTGGCTGTGCCTGCGTTTTCTGAATTCGACAATGATCTCTTTGGTTTTTCCAGTGTTTAAGACTACACTGTTTTCCTTACGCCAGTTCACCAAATCCTCAACCTCCTTGCGGTAAGCACCCTCATTGTTATCATGAACAAGCAGCAGCAGTCAAAAATAACGTGGCTGGTTAAATGTGATGGGTCATCCCGCCATACTGGAACAACAAGGCCAGGCCCCTTTACCCAGTGTACAGCCAAAAGCAAGCAAACAGCCAATCCTGCTTCTCCTAAAATTTACCAAAATGTCTATCTTATTTAGAATCCTAGGTTTAAAATGCTTGATAAGTCCACATTAAAAAGGTCAATTAAAATGCCTTGAAAGAACGAAGAATTCAACATAGCTCACATTCTGGGATATTGAACATGAAAATTCATGGGACTTCCTACTCTTCTCAAGCAGTTCACAAAATTATGGATCAGATCTGTGTGGTTGTAACTATACAGGATGAGCCATCTCTCCAGACGAGTCTCGCTGATTATCTTCATATTGCGCAAATCCCTGAACCAGTCCCCAGGGTTCACTGGAGAACACTGCAGGAAAAAAAAAGGAACAAAAAGGTACAAAGACATCAGTAACTAAAAAGAAGCTCTCAAAAGAAAAGGAAAGATAAATGCCATTTCCAAGACCTTTGTAGGAAGTACGTTCTGCATATAACATCGCATGAACCATAAAAACAAAGTTCTGGGAACTTAGAGAATAGCAGTAACTCAGAGAGAGAGAGAGAGAGAGAGAGAGAGAGAGAGAGAGAGAGAGAGAGAGAGAGAGAGAGAGAGGAGGAATTTTACTTTTCAACAAGAAAAATAGAGAAAAAGTATTACAGGCAATCATCAATTTACAACCTTCATTTAGTAATTGTTCAAAATAACAGTGGTACTGAAAAAAATGATTGATGATCATTTTTCACATTTAGGACTGTTGTAGCATTCTGGTGTTCACATGAAGAAAATTCAGATGCTTAGCAACTACTACTACTACTACTACTACTACTACTACTACTAATAATAATAATAATAATAATAATAATAAAGTTGGAAGGGACATTGGAGATCATCTAGTCCAACCCCCTGCTCTGGTTGCAACCCCCTGGTTATGACGGTTGCAGTGTCCCGGTGTCATGTGACCATCTTTTGTGACCATCTGGCAAACGAAGTCAATGGGGAAGCCAGATTCACTTCACAACAGTGTTACTAACCTAACAACTGCAGTGATTCATTTAACAACTGTGGCAAGAGAGGGTGCAAAATGGGGGGAAACTCACTTAACAACTGTCTCGCTTAGCAACTGAAATTTTGGGCTTTAATTGTGGTCATAAGTCAAGGATCACCTATATACCACCTCAACGGCTGAGCCCTATTCTATCTCACTAACAAAGCCAGAAGTGATTCTGTCCTTATAATTTTAATGTGGGATAAATTCAGGAAAGTGAGGGGGGGGGGCTAGTGCCTTAAATACTAAATGAATACTTTACAGGTTTCCCACCGGTTCTTCTGATAAGGAATTTCACACAGCCTTTACACAGAAGATCCTTTTCTCTGTGTTCTCTCCCTCTGCAATATCAGGTGAGATCCACCCGCACCCTCTTGGCCTTCTGAAAGGGCCCGAAAACACGGCTCTGCTGATTGGCTCAGAGGCTGGATGGGAGCGTTCCACGTTGCAGGTGGTTCACAAACTAAGAAGATCCCACCTCCACCTTGTTTGCACAGTAGTTTCTAGTTCACCCATTTTTGTTTATTTTTTAATGCTTGATATTTGAATGTTTTTAGCGATTTCATATTTTTCATATTCTCACTTTTACGGTGTTGAAAACCTCCCAGAGTTGCTCGACAGTGAGACGAGAGGCATATAAATTTAATAAATAAATACACGCGAGGAGGCAGCATTCAACAACACAAAGTAAAATGGAAACTAAGCCTGTGTTACTTACTGCCTCATTCTGCATGAGGATTTTCTCCGGGGAGACCACACGTCCAGTCAAGGATGCCTGGCACCCAATCTGCAACCCCCAGTTTTCTAACTCGAAGCGAGCGTCTTTATTTCTGAAAGAAAATGGCAGTCCTCAAATCAATTGGATCAAGAAGCCTTTATATACTTTCCAATTATACTGATCATCAAGCAAAACCCTGACCACTTTCATCTTTAGTGAGACTTATCAGAAGAACACAGCAAGATTTTATTTTATGACATTCAAGCACTCCACTGGGAATTGAACTCATGGACCACTGACTATATACACATATTTCAGGAAAGAATATATAGGATATATTTAAATAGTATATATAGTCCATCTTCCCTTAAGCTCTCAGAAAAAGAAAAAAAGAGATACAGACATTACATTATACAAGGGCTGGGCAACTATGCTGGGTTAGGAATTCTGGGAGTTGAAGTCCACAGGTTGTAGAATTGCCATTGTTGCCCATCCCTGCATTATGCCATGTTCTTACATACAAGCCTTCTCAGATTCCCCATTTTAATATAATAAGGGTTTGGTGGGAACCATGACATCAAATAATGATGATGACGATGATGATAATATTCATATTCATATTAATAATAATAATACAAGCAGCGACATGACAAAGTAGCAACAATGGTACATTAGAAGATCTGCAAGAAAGATCATTTGCCTGCAAGCAAGAACTGGTGGGACCATAAAATAGAGAAAGTCATAGAAAATGAAAATGTTATATTGCTCTGGGACTTTAGAATTCAAACAGACAAGCACCTGCCACATAATATCCCAGACTTAACAATTGTCAATAAGAAAGACAAAAAAGTCTGGATAGCGGATGTGGTAATGCCTGGAGGCAGCAGAATAAATAAGAACTGGAGAAGATAACAAAATGCAAAGACCTACAAACAGAAATAGAAAGACTGTGACAAAGGCAAGCAAGGGTAGTACCAATATTAATAGGCGCCTTGGGTGCAATCCCAAAACAACTGGAGCATCTCTTGGACACCCTTGGCATTGACAAATTCGCTATCAGTCAATTGCAAAAGGTGGCTTTACTAGGAACAGCTTCTATCCTGCAATGATATCTATAATACCATCAATTCAAACAGCCACATATGACTATCCCAGGTCCTTGGGAAGGACTTGATTCTTCTTCTTCTTGTGCCATATCCGTTATCAGACGTTGGTGATCATGTTGGCGATCCTGTTTTTATCAGCAGCCGCACAAAAAAGTGCTGCTGAGTTTTGTCCAAACTGGTCTCTTAGATTTTGAAGCCATGATGTTTTTCTTCTGCTTGGATCTCATTTGCCTTCAATCTTTCCCTAGAGAATTAAATGAAGTATGCCTTATTTTTCTGCCAAATCCAATCTGAACATCTGGCTGACTGTGTGATGATGATGATGATGATTATTAATAATAATAACGATGATGATGATGTTGGAAGGGACCTTGGAGGTCATCTTGTCCAACCCCCTGCTCAGGCAGGAAACCCTATACCATTTCATACAAATGGATGTCCAGTCCCTTCTTAAAAACTTCCAATGTTGGAGCATTCATTACTTCTGGAGGCAGGTTGTTCCACTGATTAATTGTTCTAACTGTCAGGAAATTTCTCCTTAGTTCTAGATTGCTTCTCTCTTTGGTTAGTTTCCATCCGTTGCTTCTTATCCTGCTTTCAGGTGCTTTGGAGAATAGCTTGACTCCCTCTTCTTTGTGGCATCCCCTGAGATATTGGAGCACTGTTCTCATGTCCCCACTTCTCTTCATTGAACTAGACATACCCAATTCCAGCAACCGTTCCTTATATGTTTTAGCCTCCAGTCTCGTAATCATCTTTTTTGCTCTTCTCTGTACTCTTTCTAGACAATGAATTTAACAATTAACAATGAGTATGTTAATTATCGTTTCTGGCTAGGGATGAGCAACTCTATCCATTTCATTCTTCTCAGTTTGCCAGTTTTGCAAATTATCATAGTTCAGTCAAAGCTTCATTTTTGCGATTCTACCACATTTGGTTTGTAGTGCTTTAGCACTTTTTACCATGTTCACACACGGCATTTTTTTACCATTTTCTTCAAACACTCACATTTTTGTTTTGCAATTCTTGAGGTTGAAATCCATAAACCTAGGTAAAGGGTAAAGGAGTCCCTGTGGATTTTACTCCACTAGTCATTGCCAACTATATGAGACGGTGCTCATCTCCGTTACAAGGCCACTGGGCCAGCGCTGTCCAAAGACATCTCCACAGTCATGTAGCCAGCATGACATCACAGAGAGCTGTTATGTTCCCATCAAAGTGGTACCTATTTATCTACTTGCATTTGCATGCTTTCAAACTGCTAGTTTGGCAGGAGCTAGGACAAGGATGGGACCTCATCCCATCGCATGGAGCTCGGTCTCAAACCTGGCCTACCAGCTTTCCAGCTTACTCCTACTGCTTCAGTGACTCCATCCAGCCACCTCATTCTCTGTCATCTCTTTCTTCTATTGCCCTCAATCTTTCCCTGCATTAGGCTTTTCTCCAGTGAGTCCTTCCTTCTCATTAGGTGGCCAAAGTACTTGAGTTTCAATTTCAGGATCTGGCCCTCTAAAGAGAAGTTGGGGTTGATCTCCTCTAGGACTGACCAGTTTGATCGCCTTGCAGTCCAGGGGACTTGCAGGAGTCTTCTCTAGCACCATAGTTCAAAGGCCTCAATTCTTTAGCGCTCAGCCTTTCTTATGGTCCAGCTTTCACAGCCATACGTTGCAACTGGAAAAACCATGGCCTTGACTGTACGCACTTTTGTTGGCAGGGTGATGTCTCAGCTTTTTAATATGCTGTCTAGATTTGCCATAGCTTTCCTCCCCAGGAGCAAGCGTCTTTTAATTTCTTGGCTGCAGTCCCCATCTGAGGTGATCTTGGAGCACAGAAAAATAAAATCTGTCACTACCTCCATTTCTTCTCCATCTATTTGCCAGGAATTGAGAGGGCCGGATGCCATGATCTTGGTTTTCTTGATGTTGAGTTTGAAGCCAACTTTTGTAGTCTCCTTCTTCACCCGCATCAAGAGGTTCAGTAGTACCAGAAATTTAGGAACTGTTCATCAAAATGACCGGCACAGATCTAGCTTCATTGTCAACCGTACAAGATCTCAGAGTGACTTTGGGGTAGTCTCTTTCAGCCCAACCAGCCATGCAGGGTAGTTGTTTCAGTAAAAAGTAGGAAGGACCCCCTACATAAAGTATGCCATCTTCACTTCTAAATTAAAAGTGTGTATATAACTAATCAATAACATTAAATCAATCAATTAATAAATGAACAAACAAACAAATAATAAGCATAAGACATTTCTGGAGAGTATTTTTCAGTTCTGAAGGAGTTCCTCTGAAACCATTCATTTGTGTTTCAGAGTAGCCCTTGTGTCTGAAAACTGATGATACTTTACCTCCATCTGGTGGTTAAAAATAAAGAAGCAAATCTGTAGAAACTGCGTGAACTGAATCTTGAATTCAGTGAGACTTAACTTCGCAGGAGACATGAGTGATTTTGCTCCATCATAAATACAATTGTTGAGGTTGAGTGCTGATTTGCTTTAAACATCAAGTCAATTGTTATGTCAGTTCAGGCAGGCTATAACCATGATTCTTTCCTGCAATGTGTTACCTGTTCTTATATTAACTTAAACATACTTGTAAATCATTTTCCCATCTGAATCCTTTCCAGGATCACAAACAGGAAGTGAGAGGCTGCAGTAGGCCTTGGAAAGCGAGCCATACTGTTCTACAAATCAGTAATGGTCAAATTTATCATTGCCAGGGATCATTCAGATAGATATGCAAATTGCAATAGAACGGAGACACCTTGTTTTATACCTTGATGCCCCCTCTTAAATATACAATTACCCTAATATAATGAGCAAAAAAACAAAATATGGAATATATAAGGAATTTATGGAGCCTGCTCATCACGGTCAGATGCTTGACACCAACCAATCTTGATAGAACATTACCTCTGAATATTGTCAGCAAGTCTAGACAGCTGTTGATGTCTCTGCTGTGGGGGCAAGTGAGTGTGTTGAGCGAGATCTCTCATCAAGCGAAAGTCTGAAGTTGCATGTCTGCTAAGCCCTAACATAAAAAAATGGGGAATACTTTTACTAAGCTCTAAATCGGTATACGGCACAAGGATCAAAAGAATGGTAAAAACCAAGAATCAGAGATATGATGTCTTTACAGTCCAAACTGATGAACCAGAGGTCTTCCCACTTGAAGCTTAGCTTTCAGTATTTATTTTTATAACTCCCCAGTCAGAGGATGTAAGGAGATAAAAGGCGAAGCCCAACTCCTGATGCCAATCCAAAAATGCTTTGCTACAGCCTTCCTCCAGTCTGGCCTGGAATTTTATAGGGGTCTCCTATAGAAGTATTAACCAGATCTGATTTTTAAAATCAGGTGCATGCTGTAACATAGCTGAGAATTTCTCCCTTCATCTGAGAGCTCAGACCCAGATGACTCCTCCATAGCATCTTCCCAGTCACACATGAGTAAGGCTCTTAATTCTAATGTCACAGCAAGCACTTGTCCACCTAGCAAATACCTTACTCTTCAAAGCTCATTTGAGGGCTCACATGGTCATAGATAAATGCTGGAACAAGAGATCTCCTGATTAGAGGTCTAATACTGTTTGTAAATCACCTGCAGGGAACTCTCCAAGGTCCTGATCCTGCTTGGGGATCAGGAGAATATTTCTAGTTCGGGATTGAAGCTGCTATAATGTTACCTAGTCTGGGTAATAAAATGTCTGCAAGAAAAAAAAAACAAGCTTACTCAATGGGCACTTTTTGCCAGAAACCAGAATTTAAATGCCTGAAATTGGCAAAAAATATCAAAAACCATGATCAGATGACAGTGGGACATTGCAATCAGCCATAAAGGTGAACCGGCTACCAAGCAACCCAAATGTGATCATGTGCTTTCTTTATAGTCTGTCTATATTCTCATATACGTGTCTCAGGATAATGTTGCAAAATCCAATCTGGGTCGGTCACCGGGATCAGAGGTGACCAACCCAAATTGGATCATGTCTATATTCTTTTCAAACATTGATTTGACCAGAAACTTCATCTCTAATTTTTGAATACTGCAGAATTGACTAAAGACAAGCTCAGAATGCTAACGGCTGTTTGAATGAGCCAAATGACATTGTCTTACCTGTCATGTAGCAAAGTTCTGGGATTAGATGCGCCACACGGGACTCAGCAGACTGGCTGCCTTTACTCTTCAGTTGGCTAACAAGCATTGGTTGATTCAGATCAGTCAAGATGATATCGTATTGCTGTTGATAGAAATATAAGGTCAGAAGGAAACTAGTCAGCTCCATTCCCAATCCCTGATGCTATAGTTCAGTATTCATCAACCTTAGCAACTTTTAAGAGGTCTGGATTTCAATTCCCCAAATTCTGGGAGTTGAAGTCCAGACATTTTTTCCTGTTAACAGAATATGTTGTTTTCCTAAATACTTAATATGTTTCCTAAGTACTTCATATATTGACTTAACTTGATTTCTCCTATATTTCTATAGCTATTTTCCTAGGTTTTCTAGGTTTGTGCAGTAGTCAAGATCTGAACACTGCTTTAAAGTGTGTAGGAGAGCTCCTGAATTACCTGTCTATCTTTAAAGAAACTGTCTTTTCCTACGATAATCTGATTGGCTCTTAGCAATTCAATAATTCTAAGAAAACAACGAATGATTAAAGATTTGAAAAAAAGATGCTAGGAATTCTGAATACAACTAGTCCTTGATTTACAACAGTTTGTTTAGTGAGTGTTCAAAGTTACAAAGGCACTGAAAAATGTGACTTGTGACCATTTTTCACAGTTACGATCTTTGGAGCATCCCCATGATCATGTGATCAAAATTCAAATGCTTGCCAACTGGTTCGTATTTATAACGGTTGCAGTGTCCTGAGGTCGTATGATCACCCTTTGTGACCTTCTGCAAAGCAAAGTCAGTGGGGAAGCCAGATTCACTTAATAACTCTGTTATTAACTTAACAACTGTGGCAAGAAAGATGGCAGAATGGGGCAAAACCCCCTTAACACATGTATCATTTAACAACAGAAATTTTGGGCTCAATTGTGGTCGTAAGTTGAGGACTGCCTGTAAACTGTTCCCACTTAAATATAAAGCAATGCATAACCCAATATTTTCTAGGTCTGGCATTTTTATCCACCCATCAAGTCCTTCCCAAGGTCCTGAGACAGGCAGATGTTTGATGATCTGCTATCCTTCAGATCTGTTGAATTATAACTCTGGGCTAATGTGACCAGTTTGGGAATGCTAGAAATTACAAGTGAATACCATATTTACAAACATTGGAGCATAGTCTTCATGCAATATCCAGATTCTCAATTACCTGTTTGTAGTAATCCTCATAAGAGATTTGAGTGCCATCACGTTTCTGGAATGTATCTGTTGGTTTTATAGACCACTCAATATCATCAATACGATATGTTTTGTTGTTGTACCTGAAATGCCAAGTAAAAAAAAAAATCTAAATATTCTATGTATTCTCTAACATGCCCTGACATAATTCTTTCTTCTACACACCCATAAAAATCAAATGAATGGTAGGTCATTAAGTATGATAACATATAGGAGTGTAGACAAAATTCCTGTTCTTTTGTGGAAAAAAAACATGCTGCCACTTTTCAGGAGAGACAAAGTATAATTAGGCATTATAACTATTTTGATTTATGTTTTGTTAATTTCCTGGTCCAGATTTTTTTAAAACAGATTTTTATTTGTCTTGTCATATGCTTATGAATAAATTTGGTAAATAAAATGTATATAATTTCCTACTATGAAATAATTTAAAAATTCTCTTTGTAGATATCAAAATAACATTATAAAAGTATTATTTACATTGCAAGGATAAAGCAGCATCACTAAAACAAACTAAAACCAGCCAATATTTATTTTTTCCCCACTGCAGGAGAAAAACAGTTCTAAAAACAGCAAGAAGAAAAAAATAACGTCTGCAAGTAAAATGGTATAAAAACAGATTTGCTTCTTCCCAACATTACTTCTTAGCTTAGAGTGGTCAGTAACATTTCTGGATCATTTGCAAAGAGGGTGAAATACTTTTCAAACCCAAATTAAATTGTTTTAAACATGAGATATAGTTATAATAAGTGCGCTTATGCAAGAAAAAACAATGAGAAAAACTTAATTTCTGTTCTTAGAATGTGAATTGTAGTACCTTGGTCTAGTTCAGTGGTTCTCAACCGGTGGGTCGGGACCCCATTTGGGGTCCAACGACCATTTCACGGGGGTCACCAAACAACGCAGTCTGCCATTTTTTTCCCCTTTTCCTTAGCGGTGCTACTCCCTTTTATTCTATTGGCTTTTGAAAGCCAATAGAATAGACTCTCTTGAATAGAGTCTAATTCTATTGGCTTTCAAAAGCCAATAGGAATTGTCCAGGCTGTCTCTGCCCTGCTGAGCCGCCAAAAGTCCCATTCTGCAAACAGTGCTGCACCAGTTGAGTAGTCCTCGACTTACGACCAGTTGGGGGTCGCGGCATTAAAAAGGTTGAGAACCACTGGTCTAGTTGAACGAATTTCAAATGCTAGTAAAATAATAAAATTGATGTGATTTGACCAGATTGAGGAAAAATCGATGTAGTTGTTGCATATTATATTGTTTATTTGGCAGACATTATTACATTTATATTGTTATTGAATTGAAACGAATGCTGCTTAAGAGATAATTTTATGACTGAAGCAACACATAAACCTAAGAAAGAATCAATAAATCAATCTGGCCATCCAATCAAGTGACTTTGGGTAGCACACAACAAAACATACTAATTAATATTATTGGTATTAAAAAAAACTTAAAAATTATAAAAAGTACAAAAAAACAGAATAAAAAGAAATTAGGTGAAGAAGAGGTATTAATTACCCAGAAGCCATCTTAGTATGTCCCCAGATTCCTATGTAGGTAAATTCTAAAAGCTGTAATACAAAACTACTAAATGAGTCAAAATTCTCTTAAATGGATGAAGTTAGCAACTGAAGGGAACATGAAGTTACTAATGTTCAAAAAGATGTCACGGTTTCCAAAGGGGTAAACTGTACCTTGTAAGAACAATAAGCCCCACCAATTCCTTCTCACAGTTTTCTGCAAAACGTGCCCTGTCTGAATTGTTATACAGATTAGTCATGAACTCCAAAACATTTTCACTGTGAAGGACTTTGTGGCTCACATCTGCACAGAGCATTACTTTGTTCTCAAAGTGCCCAACTGACACGGCAAATCCTGGCCAGAGAGTCAGCCTAAAAAGGGAGGGGAAAAAAATTCTGAGTTAGTCTATTTACACAGACTCCGAGCAGCAGGGAGAGAACAGAAGTAAACATTCATAGACATGCAAAGCGAAAAAAGTTAAGGATGAAGCATTCTGAACTAGAAAAGGGGCATCTAGAATCACTCTGAAGCTACATTTGCAATAAAAAGAATATCATGAAATCTAACATCAACATCACTCTCTCCTTTGAGCACACAAGAATCAAACACAGATGGCAAAAGGAGTTGTGACTTCCTTAATGTAGTGGAGCTGTAATGTAACTCTGACTGCAGGGTTGGGGGAAAAGCCAGGGCCCTCTTTTGCAGGGGGTTTGAAGTGTGAGTTAGATGGCATGGGAAGTGGTGGCTATCTTATTTTGCTCTCATTTGATTGTTTGGAGTTTATGAGGATTGCCTGTTCTGTTTTATAAGAAGAGTTTTACTACGAGTATAGGTTTATAAAGTGCTATGACTCCATTAGACTAATGGAGTCTAGTGATCCAGGGATAGAGCAAATAAATCAATAAATAAGGAGAGAGAGGAGAATTTGTAGATTATATTATTATTATGGATCATTATTATGGATCATCGCACAGTCAGCCAGATGTTCAGACTGGATTTGGCATTTTCTCTATCTATCGAGTCCTTACCCAGGACCTGGGATAGGCAGATGTGGATGTTTGATGGTATTACAAATATCGTCGCAGGATGGAAGCGGTTCCTAGTAAGGCCGCTTTTTGCAATTGACTAATAGCGAATTTGTCAATGCCAATGGTGTTCAAGTGGTGCTCCAGTTGTTTTGGGATTGCACCCAAGGAGCCTATCACTATTGGTACTACCCTTGCTTGCTTTTGCCACAGTCTTTCTATTTCTATTTGTAGGTCTTTGTATTTTGTTATCTTCTCCAGTTCTTTCTTGCTTATTCTGCTGTCTCCAGGCACTGCCACGTCCACTATCCAGAGTTCTTTGTTTATTATTATTATTATTATTATTATTATTATTATTATTATTATTATTATTATGGATCATCACAGTCAGCCAGGTTCAGACTTCATTTGGCATTTTGCCTACCTATCGAGTCCTTACCAAGGACCTGGAATAGGCAGATGTGGATGTTTGATGTTATTACAGATATCGTTATTGTTATTATTATTATTATTCCAGTGGGTTACAGTCAGCCAGATGTTTGGACTGGATATGGCATTTTTGTCTACTTATTGCTGCCCAGGCAAGCCAAAAGATTGGAAACCCATGCTCTAAGCAGTTAAGCATATCATGTGGATCAACTCAGTGTGGTTTACAGACTGAGAAAACTATATTCATTAGTCAAACAATGGATCAAGTAACTTTAGCTAATCTTATGCAGGTACAGGTAGTCCTCAACTTACAACTCTTCATTTAGTGATTGTTCAAAGTTACAACGGCACCGAAAAAAGTGACTTATGGCCATTTTTCACACTTATGACCGTTGCAGCATCCCCATGGTCATGTGATTTGGATTACATTTGGATGCTTGACAACTGATCACCTTTATGACAGTCCTGGGTCATGGAATCCCCATTTGTGACCTTCGGACAAGCGAAGTCAGTGGGGAAACCAGATTCACTTAACAACCGTGTTACTAATTTAAGAACCACAGTGATTCACTTAACAAATGTGGCGAGGAAAGTCATAAAATGGGGCAAATCTCACTTAACAAATTTCTCACTTAGCAACATAAATTTTGGACTCAATTGTGGTCCTAAGTTGAGGACTACCTATATAGCTTCCAGTTCATTTTGGATTACTTCTCGTCCATCAACACAGCTTATCTCACAACGTTAGGCTAGGAATAATGTGTAGATAAAATGCCATCAATCAGATTAATGGATAATTCTGAAAAAAATTCTCAACAGATAGTGAGTTATTCATGGATAAAACAACTTAATTTGCCACAGAAATATTTAGGCTGAAAACATTTCAAGGTGAGCTAGCCAACTCACTTGTGCTGAGGGATTTCCACTGGATCAGAAGGACTGTAGAAGTTTCGTCCAATCTGATACATTGACAGCTTTTGTAAAACCCTGGTATTAAATGTAAATATATATATATATATATTGTATTAGTGTACGGCAGCAAGCACTGTAACATTGCAGCACTGATAAATTAAAACATGCACATTTTGCAATCTAATCAAGTATTTAAAATAAAACGTTCAGCAACGATTCCTCATCAAACTCGACTGCTAGAAGGTTTGGCCCGTTATTTTCAATATTTTTATCAATGACTTGGATGAAATGATAGAGAAAATGCAAGCAAGATTCTGTTTTGATAGCCTCTCTCAATAAAAACTCTTTTAGTCTTCCCGTTGAGTTGATTTCCTGGTCTGGTCTATCTGGTAAGGCTGACTTAAATCCTGCAAGTCTGATTATGCAGTACCTCCTCCCACTTCTTATACTGAATTAGGGAGGTATCTGTGTGACTCTTTTCTCTCTATAGCAGACTTAACATATGTTTTATCTTGGACACTTGCAAAATGGAACTTGTACATTTCTGTCAAGGTCATCTTCCTTACTATCTATCCAAGACAGAGTGGGGCAGGCTTTCAATACCAGAGACCTCTCAAAAAGGGGATTTATGATTCCAATCTTCATCCTACAGGCTCTGCTGCAGACTGCTTCAGGTGAAAAATAATCTCCTGATCACAAGTAGAAATCATTCCAATTTCCATTTTAGTGTGTCTAGTTCTAGGTATTGAATCATAGAATCATAATGATTCTTCTAGTCCAGTGATGAAAAACCTTTTAGAGTCCGAGTCCTAGGCCTTCAGCTGGGTTTTATAAAGCCTTTTCACTTTAGTCTGCCACCATGTGGAAAACAAAAAGGTTCAATCAATCAATCAATTTCAGCTTCTCGCGGGAAAAAAAAGATATCGCAAAATTGGATTTCATTGATTGAAATTTTTACTCCCATCCAATCTGCCGTTACCACCGCAGCCACACCCTCCCAATTGGCCACACCCAGTCAATGGGCCACACCCACCCGGCACCCGACGATACATAAGTGGGTTTTGGGTTTCAGTTTGGGCACTCGGTCTCTAAAAGGTTCGTCATCACTGCCCTATACTATACCTGTACATTTGGTTTTTCTTGCCTAAATGTAGAACCTTACTTTTTTTCACCATTGAATTTCATTTTGTTAGATAGCGCTCAGTGTTCAAGTCTCTCCAGATCCTCCTGTATCCTAAGCCTGTCTTCTGGAGTGTTGGCTATTCCTGCCAGCTTAGTGTCATTTGATTGTTCCTGCCTGAGTGCAGGGTCTTACTTTTATCACCATAGAACAGCATCTCATTGGATAGAGCCCCATACTCAAGTCTGTCATATTATCATAGTATCATACTTCAAAAAGGATTCTGAGAAATTGAACAGGTTGAAAAAAGCTAACAGGGATGAATCCTGGACTAGAAATTATCATACGTTCTCTCAACATAGTTTAAAGGTATTGGCAATTTGTAGCCCAGAAGAAAAACCAAGGGATTGGATAGTACTCTTTAAATAGCTGAAAGAATGTCAAGTTAAAAAAAGGTCAACCCCTATTCTGTTTGGTTCCACAGTGCAAGATACAAAATGATGGATAAAGTTGAGAAGGTAGACTTCACTTCAATGTTGAGAATAATTTTCTAACCGTAAGAACAATCCAGTAATAAAACCAATTACTCAAAGAGTTTGTGAGCTGCCCCTGATTCAGTTCTGAAGAAGCTTCTTGGATGAGAAGTGAAATGTTTTCAAGGAAAAAAAAATAACCAAGAAAGTCCAGTTGCCTTTTGGAAAAGCACTTTTGGGACAACCATGTCTTGGATGATTTGAGAATCTCCATAGATATATAGGGTGATGTGGTGTCTCAGTGGTTAAGACGCTGGGCTTGTCGGCTTGAAAGCCAGCAGCCCAGGTTCAAGACCTGAGTTCTACATGACGGGCTGAGCTCCCGTCCTTGCCCCAGCTCCTGCCAACCTAGCAGTTCAAAAGCATGTAAACGCGAGTAGATAAATAGGTACCACTTTGGTGGGAAGGTAACAGTGCTCCATGATGCCATGCTGGCCACATGCCTGCGGAAAATGTCTTTGGACAGTGCTGGCTCAATGGCTTTGACACAAACATGAGCACCTCCCCCTACAGCAGTGGTTCTCAACCTTTCTAATGCCACGACCCCTTAATACAGTTCCTCATCCTGTGGTGACCCCCAACCATAAAATTATTTTCATTGCTATTTCATAACTGTAATTTTTGCTACTGTTATGAATCATAATGTAAATATCTGATATGCAGGGTATATTTTCATTGTTACGAATTGAACATAATTAAAGCATAGTGATTAATCACAAAAACAATATAGCAATGCTCTATTCAATAGAGTCTATTCTATTGGCTTTCAAAAGCCAATAGAATAAGAGGGAGTAGCACAGCTAAGGAAAAGGGGGAAAAATGGCGGACTGCATTGTTTGGCGACCCCCATGAAATGGTCGTTCGACCCCAAATGGGGTCGCGACCCACAGGTTGAGAACCGCTGCCCTACAGTCAGCAACAACTAGTGGAGTAAAATCCGCAGAGACTCCTTATCTCTTTATAGATATTTAGGGGTTGGAAGCAATACAGGAGAAGTGCTTTAACTTGGATATCTGCCTTGCAAAATTTGAAGAAAGGCCAATATGAGGCACTTGTATAAGAATTTAGTCTAAAACTAGGACTTCTTTCCTTCTCTCTATACCCCCTCCAAAAAATAAAGACTCACTTTTTAAAGAGGAGGTTTAAGAATTGTATGCACACAGGATTGCTGGAAAATAGCTGGTGAGTTAATTGGACTGTTATCTTTACATTATCGCCTCTTCGAGTTTCACAAGATAATTCTGTGACCTAAGAGGAAGAGAATATGCAGTTTAAATTCAATTGCAAAAGTTCTAATACAAACCGTTTTATAGTACAAGTCCTTCCTGGCAGTTACTTTCCAATAAAAGCTTGTAGAGCTTTAAAAAAAAAACTTTTATGAACAGGAGAATAATTTTCTCTTGCAGTTAAATAAGGCAAAGGTCTGCTTATTTAACTTACAAGTGTGTGCCAACATCACTGTGTGCCAACAATGAATAATGAAAGATAAAGAGGGTGAGGGTCTTAAATTGAACTGCTTCAAGAGCCAAAATAAATCATAGTTTATGGGACCAAAGCAGAACAAACTCATCTTTTCATGCTTCTCCACCCTTCAGAGTGTACGATGAATATTTCAAAGAAATTGAATTCTTCTGCTGTTTTATAATTAACTACAATTATAAAACAACGTAGGCTTTACCTTATGTATTTGTTAGGGTTGAGTAAAAACATTAAACAAACTGACCAACGGATTGAACTTGTTTAATGCTGTGGATATCAGCACTGGAACCGAAAAACAAGGTGTAGGATGATACACAACAGAGTATGAAGGGAAGGGAAATGGAGAGGGCAAAAGACAAAGTATCCTGAATTATATTTGTTCTGTCCCTAGAGTATGTGCTTCTCTGGCAGGACAAGATTAATTTCTTTTCTGCTTAGCTAGGTTACAGTTAAGTTTGGCAACCCTGACCTTGCTGACCAAAGTAGGTGCAGCATGTTCCTGTCATAGGGAAATGTTCAGGGATTATTATTTACTTTTCCTTCTCTCATTACTTCCTGTTACAAGCACGGATGAGAAAGAAAAGGAAAGTGAGTCCATACCAGCCTCCATCTTCTATTTAGAGGGAGCAGGGAAAAAGAAAAAAAAAGGCACTGACTTCCGACTTCCTCTGCTGCAATAGAATAAAGCATTAACATCAAACCTCAACTTTTTACTTTTCCATAATAGTATAAACTATAAACTAGATAATAGTATAAACTAGCCCAGGGGTAGGCAACCTTGGCACTTTCATGACTCGTGAAGTCCACGAGTCATAAAAGAGCCAAGGTTGCTTACCCCTGAACTAGCCATTTCTATAACAACAAATCAATGTAATCGGTAAAACCCAAAATCAAAGTTTCATTTTTTTTCCACCTCAAGCACAAAATCCAGAAGCGGTTTCCAAGTAGAAACAGAAGTACTTATATTCTTTTCTTTAATCAAAACAGTCAATTTAGCCACCTCTGCCAACTCCATCAGCTTCTGTAGCCATTCGTCCATAGTGAGAATCGAAATATCCTTCCATTTTTGTGCATACAATAGTCTTACTGCCGTCAACATATATAAATTCAAGGTTCTTTTTTATGGAGCATGGCTGCTAATTGTTATTTGTGTTGTAATCATATACTATTTTTTTTACACTTTGATTGGATCTTACAGCGTTGGATAAGGTGAAATACAATAAAAAATACTTTATTGAATGGCAAGACAGGTTAACTACATGGATAGTTTTCCACAGAGCCACAGGGTTACTGACTGAGCCCAGGACAACACTAAAGGCCTGCCTAGTGGGTATTCATCTTTCAAGAATTGCCAATCTGATGCCCTCAAGCAGAACTTGAGGACAGTATTAGCTTGTATTGGTCATTAGATTGTATTGAAAAGCAGAAGATTTGTCATCCTGGAGATAGAATATTCCACTATAATCTCATTATTCATGTATTTACCTAATTCCCTAGCAGGACCAATGGGAATGAAAGTACAAAGTAGTCCTCGACTTATGATTGTAGTGGAGCCTGCTATTATGGTCCTAAGTTGTGATGGGCGTAAAGCAATTCACTCATGTGACTGATTCGATTTTACAACTTTTTTTTACAACAGTCATTAAACAAATAGTGCAGTCATTAAGCAAACCTTTTGTTCACTGCTGGATTTTTTTTGCCAAAACCTGGAAGTAAAGACTGATTTTCAGCAAAAATATTGTAGATCAGGGCTTTTCAACCTTTTCACAGATTGTACCACTTTTAGGAAATGATAATATTTGAGTACCACCAATGCTTAGCAAGCTGTCAAAAAAACTGATGACTAAAAAAAAGGGGGGGGGATTTTGAGTTTTACTGATTAGATTCATTTGTTGTTATAGAAATGGCTAGTTTATAATATTATGGAAAAGTAAAAAGTTGAGGTTCAGTGTTAATGCTTCCTTCTACTGCAACAGAGGAAGTATGCTCTTTTTCCCTTCTCCCCCTCACTTTCCCCCCCTTTTTTCCTCCCCACTGTGTCCTACTATTTGCTTTTGTATTTTATTCTATAATCTAATACAGGGCTTTTCAACCTTTTCACCCTTTGTACCACTTTTAGGATATGGCAACATCTGAGTACCACCAGTTGCCTAGCAAGGTGTCAAAAACTTGGTGATCAAAAAAAAAAAAAAAAAAAGAGGAAAAAAGTGATAAAGTAACAGGTAGTCCTCCACTTAACAACAATTTGCTTACTGACTGTTCAAAGTTACAATGGCACTGAAAAAGGTGCCCCCCTCAAGCCACAGCTGAGCAAGACACCTGCCTGCCCGCCCAGCAGCGCTCTTCCTCCTGTACGAGGTTTTCATTGTTGTGAGCATTTCTGTTGAGGATTGGCAGCGGGAGTGGGGTGGGCGGGTGTTTGGTTTTTATTCCCGTCTACTGGGTGGTTGCAGTAGGTTTTGATCACTTCACATGACCCTTGGACACTGTGACCGTCATAAATATGAATCAGTTGCCAAGCATCTGAATGTAAATTACAAGACCCTGGAGATGCTGCAACATTCCAGCTGATTGGCGCTTCTTCTGGGCTCAGAAGCGCCAGTATCAGCGCCGAGCTCCAGCTGGAGCCTGGCGCTGATCCTGGCGCTTCCACTGAGCCCTGACAACCCCAAAGAAGCACCCATCAGCTGGAAAGCGGCATTGATCCTGGCGCTTCCGCTGAGCTCTGACAGCCCTGCAGCTCCAGCCATCTCTCGCTCAGGCTTGTGCGGTGCTGCCACCGGTTCAGCTCATTCCCTTTCACCGCTACCACTTTTCTAGGATGGTCACGTACCACTTGCCAGGTGCCAATGTACCACAGGTGGTACCCGTACCATTGGTTGAAAAGCCCTGTTGTAGATCACAATCATGTAATGGTGCGATACTACAAATAACTGAAAATGAAGGCAGAGTACCCCAAATACAGTTGCGTGACCATGGAGCGAGGAAAAGAGTGGCCATTGAAATGTTAGAACCAGATCATGAATACCTTTGGGGGGGGGTTCATCATAACTTTAAATGATTGCTAAGAGACCAGTCATAGATTGAGGTGTCATGGTTCCGAAAGAACATCCGATGTTAGCAGCCTTGACATGAGGACTACCTGTATATTACTGGTTGTTCCTTGTTCTACAAATATTCCCTTACTATGGTAGTTACAAAAGTTCTTTAAAAAGTATAATCTTCCTCCTCTCATACATAGATGCACGCACACACAGACACACAAACACAAACATAGAGTCTTACCTGGTTCTCAAGCTTGTGTGCAAGAAACAGGGTTGCTCCATCAAATACTTTGGCTTTTCCAAGAAATTCAACATGGTTATACAACAGGGCAATCCGTAAACGCCTTGATTCCAGCTCTGGGCTAAATGTTACATGGTACTGGTATAGCTGCCATTCCCTAGGCAAGCCTAAACTAAACAGGTTGGTAATCACTTTCACAGGAATACCACTGGATCCTGAAATGAATAAGGTTATTAGCTGGATAGCAAATAAAAAAAAAGTAGGAAGGAGGGAGACCCAAGATGGTTATGCAAATGCAGATTACACACCAGACAGATTACCAGTACTTTATCAGTTAACAACTATGTGTAAAAACCCATTGTGTTTGTTGAGACCTTCCGAGATTGCCTGAAACTTGTGATGTACAGTAAATTGAATTTTGCAGCCTATCACTCAACAGTGAAATTAAGACCCAATTTTTCCCAAATAGTGGAAATAAGGGAAATATTACGGCAACTGTAATATTGTAGCGTCAATGGGAAATATTATTGTAGCTACCTAAAGAACCCTAGCACAGCACAACTCTAGGTGCAGGAAAAAAAACTGTTCCCTAAATAAATTATACCTGTTTTAGAATCTTTGACATGTAACATTGCTTCTCTAATATTCACTTCCAAGTCCCGAAATTTACACTGGATCCTCCCTCCTCTCTCCATCACCGTATAGCCAGAAGGTCCAACAGAAAAGCCATCTTGAGAAGGAAACAAAAATAAGGCGTTGGCAGTCTCAGAGAAAATGAAAAGAAATTATAAAGCTAAAGCTGTGTACTGTAATAATATTGGTGTACTGGTTAATGAATAATGAAAGTCTATTATAATTCATTTCATTTGGAATGTAAACTATATACATCAAGGTAGTCCTTGATTTATAGTAATCATTCAAAGTCACAACGGCATTGAAAAAAGTGATTTATGACCATTTTTTACACTTACAGCATGATCATTGCAGTATCTCCATGATCTCGTGATCAAAATTTTGATGTTTGATAACTGGCATGTATTTATGACAGTTGCAGTGTCAAGGGATTATAGGATCTTCATTTGCAACCTTCCCAGGTGCCTTCCAACAAGCAAAGTCAATATTGGAAGCTGGACCCACTTCACAACCTTTTAGGTCACTTAAGAACTACAATGATTTGTTTAGCAACCGCTACGGGAAAGGTTTTCAATTTGGGCATGACGCGCTAAACAAATGCTTTACTTGGCAGTGAAAACTGAGTACCAGTAAAGTAAAGAACTACCTGTACTTTAAATATTTACATATACTCTGGAGATCAGGCTGTTTAAGAATAGCTATTGCACAATTAGCTTGCTTACATTTCAATGATTCTTCTCCAGTTCTTACATGGCTGCTAGTGGCCTCTGGCACACTGTAAGAAGCAGTGTCTCCCGAACAACCCTTTAAGGTAGAAATGATAAACACTGACAAATTAAAAACTATGAACAGATTATGCTTTTCTCCACTGACTTGATTTCTGATATTTTTTTAAAAAAATATTTGCTATTAAGTAACACTCCACTGTTCTAAGATACTGAGAATGGAAAGCCACAAAACACCATCAGTCTGACTCTAGCTACTTCCTGTTTTGTTTGCTATCAAACTTTCCCCTTTTTACTAAGCCATAAAATCGGGTAAAATAAGATAAACCATTATGGAAAGATTAAGAAACAGATCAGCATCACTGGGTCTAACCGCACAACTAGAACCATCCCTTTCAGGTATCTCAAATATAAACTATATTCCCAGGATGAACATTTTAGCAATGTATAAAACATTCCAAATAAATTAGATTAAGTAAAATTCCCTGAGCCTGAGTTCTCTATTTATTGTTTTCAATAGCTTTTTTTTATAACTTTCTATCACTTATTATTGAAGAAAATCACAGTGACTTGACACTCTTCATTTTAATTGTCTTTCTGGGTACACTAACATTATAACATCAGTTACTAATACTCTTTTGTAAGACATCTTCTTGAATTGAATTCTGTCTGCAGGAATACATTTCTTTGGAGATTGTATAAATTTGATTCATTAGCATCTGTTCAAATATGGTGCTTTTTTAGTACATTGTTTTTCTAGGACAAAATATATCCAGTGCAAGCACCAAATTAAAAATACAGCCATTTATATAGAACACAAGTATGTCTTAAACAAACTATCAATCATTATTATAGATCATTAAATGTAGATCTAAATAAGGGATGTCAGGTATAGAAAAGATTGAGAATCACTGGTTTAATGGTGCAGTTGCCCCACAAGAGAAGATCAACGTTTTGTAAACAAGCACAGGCATAAAAACATACTGGTTTTGAGAAATCGCTTTGTCCAAATGTTTCTCTTCCAGGAAAGCATTGTCCTCTGGCTTTGACACGAGCCCGTCCACTCATTATTCCAGTTCTGACTCACGGAAATAAAAAGAACAAGCGCCCAAAGGCAGAACAAGAAGCAATGGATGTGAACTAATCAAGAAGAGACCCAACCTAGAAATAAGGAGAAATTTCCTGAGAGTTAAAACAATTAATCAGTGAAACAGCTTGCCTTCAGAAGTTGTGGGTGATCCATCACTGGAAGTTTTTAAGAAGAGGTTGGCCAATTATTTGTCTGAAATAGTATAGGGTCTCCTGCTTGAGCAGGGGGTTGGACTACAAGACCAACCTCCAAGGTCCCTTCCAACTCTGTTATTGTATTAACTCTAATTCCAGAAGGATAGATCTGGTGGATGGAAGAGCAACACAAAAGATCAGGGATGGCAAAAACGTCAAGACTTGACTTTCCCATATGAAACTCTCCATTCATAACTGAGATGATTTGAAGAAAATACAGGGTTAATTTGAGTTGTAGTTTTCACATTCTACCTTCTACATCAAGGGGGCCTTATTATACTGGACTTTTATAGAAAGCAGCTTTAAAAAAAAAAAAAGACAGCAGCCACAAAATAGTAAAAAGCTGGCTATGAGTGTTCACCTATGTCATAAAGCGATAGTTCTTAAGCTTTTATTTATTGCCTTTATGTCTTGCTCTTCAGCCATGAGTAGGAACCACGTAAAAAGTGGTATTTCAACTGTGCTGTTTCTCAACATTCTTTGTTGGAGCTTGGCGCTGAGGACCAGAAGCAGGGTCAACCTATTAGCAACTTTGGACCAAGTTAGCCCAACCCACCTCATAGAGGTTGTGGTGGTGGTGGTGGTGGTGAAGAAAAATAGGAGAAAGCAGCACTATGTATAGCACCTTGAGCACTTGTACAAAGGGGGAATACAAATCTAATAAATAAATTCTTGGGTCAAAATTGTAAAATGACAATTGGCCAAGATGAAAAGAGTATAGAGGAAAGAAATTGCTCATTTATTTCTCCTCACATATTGCCACTAGCATGTACTGAATTATTTATTATTATTGCTATTATGCTCTGTGTGTTTTTAGGCAGCTGAAGTCATGTACACAGGGATCTTCCTTTACTTTATTCCCACAATAAAACCTCTGTGAGATAATCTGGATGGAGAAAAAATGGCTGCCCATAGGTTACCTAGGGCTTTCAGGTTGAGAATTGAACTTAGTCCAAGTTTCTCCATCTTGGCAACTTTTAAGATGCCAGCTGGGGAATTCTAGTTGTTGTTCATCTAGTTTAAAAGTTGCCAAGGTTGAGAAACATTGCCTCAATTGCTACATCACACTAGTTCCTGAAGGAACAGGATACTATTATTATAGTATAGTGTGTGTGTGTGTGTGTGTGTGTGTGTGTGTGTAGTATATAGTATTTTATTGGATACTATTATTATAGTATATAGTGTGTGTGTATGTATACATATATATGTGTGTGTGTGTCTATGTATATGTATGTATATGTATGTGTATATATATATATATATATATATATATATATATACATACATACATACATACATACATACATACATATATATATACACACAACTGCCTAACATGCATATAGCCCAGGTTCGAATCTCAGAAGAGTAAGTCTGGCTGAAGAGAGTTAAAGGAACTCGAAATAGCTATCCCAGTTCTCTCTTTACTCTTTGTTAGCAACCTATATATATGTATGTATGTATGTATGTATGTATAGTATATAGTATATAGTATTTTATTGTTGCATGAATACAGGTAGTCCTCAACTTGCAACCACAATTGAGCCCCAACAAATTCATTCAAATTTTGTCACATTTCATGATTTTTCTTGACACATTTGTTAAATAAATCTACTCTGCCATTGACTTTGCTTGTCAGAAGGTTGTAAAAGGTGATCACATGACCTAGGGACAGTCCAATCATCATAAATAAGTCAGTTGGCAAGTGTCTGAATTTTGATCACATGACCATAAGGATGATGCAATGACCATGTGAAAAATGATCATGTCATTTTTTTTCAGTGCTGTTGTAACTTCAGTCACTAAATGAACTGTTTTAAGTTGAGGACTAACTGTGTAGCCCCTTAATTTTTCCCCTCAATAATATATTCACAATATATAGTGTGAGGCATTAAGCATTCTCTAAACTGGCAGCTCCTGCCAACACAGTAATGACTGAGAATTTCAGGAACATCTCGTCATAGATCCTTCTCCTTGTTTAAACCGTGAAACAGATAGTTGCTTCATATAAAAAAAAAAGACTTAATCCTACTTTAAACTCAACGTTCTTCATTATTTAATCTGGAGTAGAAATGTAGTAACAGCCAGTAAAGGTCAGAATCAGGTGTTCTGGCGAGCCTTGCATTTGAACCCTTACTCAACCCTACCCTAGCCATTTTCACAGGATCCTGAGTATACATACATACATATGGAAGATCATGCTATTCCTTCACCCAGAAGATCCTGAGACAATGGACAAAATATATACGTATTATACATTTACAAAATAATCAATGGTTTTTATTGGTAAATTTGAATGGGTTAGGACAAAATGTATTACACCCTGAAAACAGCATCGTGAAAAGGGGGTAAACGGTGGTAGGTTTTGGAAGGAAGGAGGCAGAATCAATCTCTTAAACAGGGGCCCCTTCTGTGTTTGGGGCTCAGAGACGTCATACACCCCACTTACCGTTAACCTCACGAGCAACGCTTGATCAGATGAGGTCAAGAACAAACCCCACCGGACTAGCTCTTAATTTTGACTTTGCTTTGGTTTCGCTTTCAGGAAACGTGATAGGACTCGCCCTAAGAGAAGCCAAGGAAAGACCGGGATAAAATGTAACAGGGTCTTCCAACTACCACCACTCGTTACGCCCCCTCAGCTTTTGGCCTCGTGCAGACACGTGCCTCAAGGCAACCTGCCTCGAAATATAACCACGCCCATTACGGAGGCCACGCCTTCCTCCTGCGCGTTCTCCTTCCATGGAATCGACCGCCGGACGTTCGTCCCGAAGAGCGTTTTTTTTTCCTTTTCGCCTGAAAGGCGCATGCGCGAGAAATCTAATTCTCTCCTGTGGTAATTCACTTTTCCTTAAGAGCCTGAGTAGGAGAATGACTGCTAGGGTGGGTTAGGGATATTAATACAAATAGTCTCTGTTTACATGATTTACCTATTTATGGCCTGTTGGAAAAAAAGAAACACATTTGATAGAGTTTGCACAACATGCTAAACCTTAAACCCTGGTTGATTAGCCTGAGTAACAGACATTATTCAGTAGAAGGTTATTTAATATCTAAATATCCAATATTTAAGAGGTTGCCACAAAGAAGAGGGGGTTAACCTACTCTCCAAAGCATCTGAAGATAGGACAAGAAGCAATGAATGGAAACTATTCAAGAAGAGAAGCAACCTAGAACTAAGGAATTTCGTGACAGTTTGAACAATTAATCAGTGGAACAACTTGCCTCCAGAAGTTGTGAATGCTCCCACACTGGAGATGTTTAAGAAGAGATTGGACAATCGTTTATCTGAAATGATATACAGTTTCTTGCTTGAACGGGGTTGGACTAGAAGACCTCCAAGGTCCCTTCCAACACTTATTCTGCTTTAAAAAAGCTTTAATCTTTGAGAAAATACCAGATCTGGCCCTCAAATCTGGTCCACCAGTACAGAAAAAAATGCAGAAAAGTCTTAATATTTGGATGCCTTTAATAGTCTGGAGTTTTGCAGTCAAGTGGGATAGCTCTAAACACAGTCTTGATAACCACATGGATGAATCCATGTCATTTTCTTTAGAGAAAAGGTTTGCTATTGACTTTCTGTGGGATATTTTTTTTCTATCTTGCAGTCTATCATACAGCTCTGAAATTTTCTGATCTCTGTTGCAATACAAGATGGCTGCTGAGTTTTTGTCCTTTTTGGAGAACTTATTGCTTTAGACCAAGTTATGTGAAGCTTGAAAATGTCCAGAACTTTTCCAAAATAGCATTGGGAGTAGATATCCTGCTAGAACCTGACTTCCAAAATTGTTTACAAATTGCTGTGGAAGGATCTGGAGCAAGGTACATATAAAAAGCTAGTAACTTCAGGGGTATATAAATGAAATATTCAGACTGCACTTTGTTTCTAACACAGCTCTAAAGGCAGTTAGCAGATACAGAAGAAGCTGGATCCAACGCTTCTGCTGAATTTGAAGAAACATGATTCTAAACAGGAGGAAAGTTTATCTAATTCAGTCATACCCATTGTGGTGCTTTCTAGATGAGATGGATCAACCTTTAATCAGATTGAGGGAGACTGAGTTTCTATATAAATGCACACCCATCATGCTATTTCATTTTGGGGAAAACACATAATGCAAACTGCAAAAAAAGAGTAAAGGTGCAAGTCAAAGAAATTAATGTCAAGAAATAAGGAAATAAAATACAGCTACATCTAATTTACACAGCATCATTATTTCTATCTCACTATACTTTTCTGTTCTTGGAAATGGTCTTGGAATCCTGTTGTGTTCCCCTGACTGGATAGAACACCTGAAAAAATAATGAAAAATCCCCAAGGAAAATGCTAAAGTCTTTCTTTGACCTTGAAGAAAATTTAACTTTAAGTGATATCTGGAGACAAAAAAAAATGTTAATTCTAAAGACACCAATCATTCTTGAGAATAGACATGATATGGATTTCAAGAAATACTCTGGCCTTAAAAACACAGATTTTATCAAAGACTTTCTCCAACCACAATCTAGTTAAGATTACTTTAAAAAAGCAAAATTTAGATGGAAACTTAATGAAACTTTATTACACAAAGATTGGATAGTAAAAGATTATAAAGAGAACAAAAATTTTGGGCAACAGCCTAAATCAGTGATGGCGAATCTTTTAGAGACCGTGCCCAAAAACTGGGCCTGCCCATACTCCACCTTGTGCCCTGCCCCCACCCCGCCCCACCCCGCCTGCCCACAAGGCCACTCACTGCCTCCAGGGCCCGCTGCAGATCACCCATGCAGCCCAGCAGCGCCATGAGGGCTACACCTTCTGCCCGCGCCCTGCAGCATCAACTGTGTATGATGGGGTGTGAGGGCAGAGTCTTGTCTACGCTGCCTGGCTGCCATATTCGTGGCTGTGCTGCTCTGCGTAGGCCACACTCGGGTGACTCTCCTCCAGGGGGGCTGCTGGTGAGGAGGGGGTCACGGGCAGAGGCAAGCCTGGGGCAACAGCACATGTGCCCACAGAGAGGGCTCCAAGTGCCACCTCTGGCACCCATGCCATAGCTTTGCCACCACTGGCCTAAACAATAGATATAAGAACAGTAAAAACACAAGCAAAGCTGTAATTAAGGTTTATATATATATAACATAATAATCAATTGGAAAACAAATCCCATGAAAATATCCATAAGATCTTATAGGAAATTGAAAGTAAAGAAGAATTAAGGAAATCACCTACAAAAATAAACATTCCAAACCATATTCAACTTCTTCAATAGCAATTGTATATGCATGTATGGTAGCGTGTCATGGTTCTGATAGATGAAACCAGTAAATGGTTTCAGGGCAAGAATTTCTTCCTTAAAGAACATTTTATTAGGAAACAAAGTATCAGCACTTACACAGTCGAACCCAAAACTGAGATTCCCTCCCCCAGATACAAAGTAACAAGTTGCAATTTTCATCCCACAAACGCTGTCACAAGTCACATTCCCCAATCAATGCAAGACACAGGCTTTTCTCACCGTCTTTTCAGACCTTATCAGACCATGTCCTTGACTTCCCACACTTCTACATTGTTATGGCTAGCTAAACCCTCAAGCATTTACCCCATCCCCCTTCTAACTCTGAATTCTAAAAGAATAATAAAGGCACACTAGAAGCAAAAGTAAAAATGGCTGCTGATTTTCAGTTGTCAGAGCAACGACATCCATTGTCACAGCGTTGACATCCGGCTCCCCTTAACAGAAAGGTGTAATCCTGCAATTTAAACAGAAGTATAGGTTAAGGGTTGCCCCTTGGCTTGTTGGTGTGTTTGTCATAGAATTTACGTATGAGCCTATTAGCTTTCACATCATTAGATTTCACCCATGTGGCCTTTGATAATGGATAACCCTTCCACTGAACTAGATATTACAATTTTCCTTTAAAAATCAGCATTGACATAGAGAATAAATTGAATTTCCTTAAGCAAATGAACTTTGAGCTGGCAAATAAACCAGGGAGGTGGTTGGCTTGTAAGTTAAATAAGGAAAAAGCTAAGTTGATTTTGAAACTCCAGAAGGTTGAAATATAAGGAAACTTTCATCATTAATCTTCCAATTTGTATAAAAGATCTGACATCTTAGGAAAAAAATAGAAGGTTATCTCCAAAAGCAGAACCTACCACATCTTACAGATACACAAAAAGAATTTATGAATGGACCAATCACATGATGGAAATCTCATAAGTTATAAAAAAAATCAAGTTAGGAAAAGCACCTGTGCCAGATGGTCTTCTGGAGATTTATTATAAATGTTTTGAAAAAGAATCGTCACAACACCTCCAGAATACAATGACTTCTATTTTACAAGGTAATGGGATACCAGAATCATGGAAACAAGCCAATATCACTCTAATACCTAAAGAGAAGCAAGATCCAATCTTAATTAAAAATTATTGTTAATTAAAACATTATTAAACAGGAACTATAAAATATTTACATCTATGTTGGCTAAAAGTCTCAAGACAGAGGACTTCCGATTTGCCAGGTGGCCGCCATGGACAGCTGGGAGATTTGCTCTCTCTGCCCCATTCAATTTCGCATTGCTGGGGGGCCCTGAAAAAGGCCAAAAATTGCCCCGAACAGGCGACCAGCAAGGAGGTGCTTTCGCTGGATTGCGAGAGAGCAGCAACTCTCCTGTTAGAGCAGGCGAGCCCTCTAAACTGGTGGATGAAAGGACCGACCATAGAAATATGGCTCGTCCCTAGGCTGCTAACAGCCGAAGTCACATTTACCATTTAGCAACTTCAAAGCAGCGTGGGAAGGACTGAGTGAGAACTACCTCTCTTACATCCTAATTACTTAATTACCTGCATAAGCTGCTAAAGTACTTTTCCCCCTGTGGAGAGGGAAGGGGGATTTTAGCCCTCCCTCCAGAAACAATGGCAATTGAATACACAGGGGAGCTTTTTTTTTTTTTTTTGAAAACATTGAAAAAATAAATGGATCCCAACTGGAACTTTATTTCCTAAAGCTTGTGGATTAAAAGATTTTTGATTATCCACTTTTTACTTTTAATTTTTATTCGAAAGTCTGGGTTTTTCCTCTTAAAATAGAAGAATCCCCCCCCCCCAAGGATTACAATAACTTTGAGATTTAAAGGAATTCCTTAAACAGTGGGGTGACATCTTGTGGCTAAACCTGAAATTACAATTTATTGTTCTTAAAGAAAAGAGACCTGGCTGACAGTTTAGAAAACAAGATAAGATTTATCTGGTAACCTTGAACATCAGCTGTGAGAGTTTTAGCTCTGTTTCTTATTTACTGGGGGGGGGGGGAAAGGTGAAAGTTTTCAATTCAACTCATCATTATGGAAGTCCATTAACAGACCTTTTCTATGGAAGAAATGCAAAAACAAATTTTTCCTATGTTGAAAATAACTTACCAAACTTACCAAAGTTTTCTTAAAGCTGGCAATGAAATAAGAGCTTTCAGAAAAAAACGAGAAAGCGTCTTAGATATGCAAACTCGAATTTTGACCATAACTAAAAACCTATCTATACAGAATACAATAGGAAAAATCAAACAATTAAATACTATGTCAGAAGACCTGACTGTGCAACAAATACAGACAATAGAAAATTCAGAAAAAAATCTGACAACATGGATGGAGGAAAAAACCTGCTATATAAATCAGAAGGAATTTGAAGATCAAGAAGAGAAATAGACGGAAGAAAAGATAAACAATTCAGGACAACTATGTCAAGAGGAGAAAATAAAGAGACAATCTGGTAGTC